ATAATTAAAGCCCATGCCATACAAAATGTGCTTTAATTTTATTATTTAAATTTTAATGTGGGATTCAAAAACTATAGTACTTTGACAAAATTTTTTATTCATTCATATTGTTTTAATTTTTTTTTAATTTACTTTTTTTTTCTTTTGAGATATGATTATAGTTTAAACTTAAAATCTTTTATTTTAATTATGACCGACTCAAATACTATTGAAATAATAGATTATGAATTAAAATTTATTTTTTATTATAAATAAGTTTGATCAAACATCTATTATTATATTGTAAGGATAAGATTTTTGAACCTCAACTTACAATGATTGGAAATGTCTTAGCGTAAAATTTCAGCATATGATTGTAAGTTTTCTCTTTTATTTGTATCTTTAACTATATTAATCCTAGTATAATCATAAAATTAATTTTATTTATTTATTTATTTTAAATGAATTTGACTTTGGAGGATCACTCTTACTCTTTTTGAAGGAAAATATGTTTGATGCCACTATTATGCGTTTGATCAATAAAGATGTATAATGTTTAAAATAATATTTGTCTAACACCTAAATTTACTAACACCAAAATATTTTATAAAATAGAGAATGGATCAATTTACATTAATATAAAATTAAAAAGTTGTATACATTTTTTAATCATTAATTTTAACAAATTTGAAAAATGAAAAACAAATCAAAAAGTGAAAAAAATGGTTTAATCTCATCCATGGATTTATTAAAATCAATATCTAGAAAAAAAGTGTAAAACTCTTTAATTTTATACTAGTATAAATTGATTCAATTCTTCATAAAATATTGATCAATTTCCAAGGTTTTATTGTAAAAAATCTAACCATCTCAAAATAAAGTTAATTTTTAAAAAATTACCCAAAACATTTGTATGGAACTATAATTTGATATATTGATAAAGTATTGAATTATTAAAATTCAAGTCCAAACAATATGAAATATAAAACGAGTTTATATTTAATGTTTTATTAATGTATAAATTCTATACATTAATAATAAATAAGATGATGTTATTTCATTATTAAGTAAATATCATACTTTAAAATAAATATATAAAAAATTAATATTATTTAAAATTTTACTAAATAATGAAGTGATATAATCTTATTTATTTTATTAACAAAATAACATATTTTGATTCATTGTTAATATATAAAATTTATATTCTAATAACGCATCAAATATAGACATAAAACGTATAAAAACACAAAAAAAAAATTTGATTGACTTAATATCTATAAACCATACTAAAGTGGGCTGCCTAAAATTTAAGGGCCCATTTTAAATTAGAATAAAATCGTAATAGACCAAAAAATGATAAATTTGGAATTTTGAGTGGAAAAGTCAATAATTATCCCTTTTGTAATGGTTTTTATTTTTAATTACATTGTTGCTCACCATTTGCTTAGAGTATTTTTGCTTGATATAAGTTACTAAAGGAAAATTGTTATCAATATGAATAAATAATACATATTTTCTTAAAAAAAAAAAAAAAAGAACTTGTAACTTTTCCAAGAGAAATGTAAAAATATCCAAAATGATTTTTCTTGATCAAACTGATTACCTAACGTTTCAAAACTATGTAAAACCATAAATCGTTGATTTTTTTTATCAAATTAAATTATAAATTTTTATATATTTTAAAATAATAATTATTTTGTTGAAACTTGATAATAAAGTTGCATATCGTACAAATAATTAAAATTAATAAAATGCACATTAATCAAAATTTGTATAACATATAATGTTTGTCACATTTTCAAAATTTATTCATTAACGTAGAATTTATTGTTTCTAAGTTCTAACATTAATATAAAATTAAAACTCTATAGATAAGATAATTTAATATAAACTTTAATTATTTTTTATTTAATTAATAAATCTATTTAGTAAAAGTAAAAAATTCATATTTATATCTGATAAATATTTGTAATATTTACAATTAAAATTAAATTTTAAAAATGTAATAAATAAAATATTTAAAAATTCTATGAAATAAATTTATTTATAACATATATGGTTAAATTCGTATCACACATTTATATTTGTGTATCATACTATATTCTCACATGCTACATATTAATCCGTGAACCTAAAATCTCTTACCTATGACCCAAAAATGTTCTTATCCAAGTGATTAGAAAAAAGTCCTCAATTATTCGAAAATGTTCCCCAATCAATCTAACCAAGCAACGAACGTCAAATTAATATTCTCTTCTTGTTAAAAGTTAAAACTTAAAAGCAACAATGTTCATAACCCTTCCAAATAATGTTCCAAAAACACTTGACAAATAAATCCAAATATTCTCATTCAAGTTATTGATAAAAAAATTTTTGATTAATTATTCCTTTCTTCTAACAATCGAGGCTTAAAGTAGTTGTTATCTTTTTTTTTTTTTAACAGAAAAATAAAGTTCAAAGTTAGAATCTCTAGTTGCTAATAGACTTCTTCAATTGTCCCAAACAAGGGTTCAATTATACTTCTTCCGTCTTTAATTATTTGTATGTTATTAATTTTTATGAAATTTAAAAAAACAAATTTGATTTTAATGTATTTAATATTAAATTTTAAAATTTTTTAAAAAATAAAATTTCATTATTTTTAATATCAAAAGGTACAAAAAAAATATTTAAAATATAAAAAAAAAGTTTTAGATATTTAAAAACAAACTTTGGAATATCCAAAAAATAAAAATGAATAAAGAAAATGAAAGATACAAGAAATGACCTCTAATATTCTTTTTCCAACCTGAAGTTATCGAATCTCATCTCTCCTATGACTTGTTTAATTTTATGTACCAAGAAAAAAAAAAGTAGAGTGGAATATGGTGAAGGTGGAGTCGAATATATTTTGATTTTTTGCTACCATATGAAATTTATAATCTAATAATACATCAAATATAAACCTTAAAACGTATAAAAATACAAAAAGATTTTGATTGACTTAATATCTATAAAACATCATAAAGTGGGTTGCCTAAAATTTACGAACCCATTTTAAATTGAATTAAAATCGTAATAAACCAAAAAATGATAAATTGAAAATTCTGAGTAGAAAAGTCAATAATTATCCTTTTTAATGATTTTTATTTTTAATTAGATTGTTTCCCGACATTTTTTAGAATATTTTTATTTGATAGAAGTTATTTTAAAGTAGATATTTGATAAAAATAAAAAAATTATTATCACATATTTTCCTCCAAAAATAACTTGTAACTTTTTTTCGAGAAATTTAAAAATACCCGAAATGATTTTTCTTGATCAAATTGAATGCCTCACGTTTCAATACTTTGTAGAAGCATGAATAGTTGATTTTTTTTATCAAATTAAATTATAATTTTTATATATTTTAAAATAATAATTATTTGTTGAAACTTGGTAAAAAAGTTGCATATTGTACAAATAATTAAAATTAATAAAGTTCATATTAGTCAAAATTTGTATAACATATAATGTTTGTCACATTTTCAAAATTTATTCGTTAATGTAGAATTTATTGTTTCTAAGTTCTAACATTAATGTAAAATTAAAACTCTATAGATAAAATAATTTAATATAAACTTTAACTATTTTTTTATTTAATTAATAAATCTATTTAGTAAAAGTAGAAAATTCATATTTATATTGATAAATATTTGTAATATTTACAATTAAAATTAAAATTTAAAAATGTAATAAACAAAATATTTAAAAAGTCGATGGAATAAACTTATTTATAACATATATAAATCAATCGTATGACATTTATATTTATATGCCATATTATATTTTCATGTGCTACGTGCTAATCCTTAGACCTAAAATCTCTGGCCTATGACTCAAGAATGTTCTCTTCCAAGTAATTAAAAAAAGGTCTTCAATTATTCAAAAATTCTCCCTCAATCAATCTAACTATGCAACTAACCTCAAATTAATATTCTCTTCCTTTTAAAAGTTAAAACCTAAAGGCCACAATGTTCATGATGCTTCCAAATAATGTTCCAATAGCAGTTAACAAGACAAGTAAATCCAAATATTCTCTTTCAAGTTATTGATAAAAAATTGTTGATTAATTGTTCCTTTCTTCTAACAATCAAGGCTTAAAGTAGTTGCTATCTTTCTTTTTTTAATGAAAAAATAAAGTTCAAAGTTAGAATCTTTGAATACTAATAGACTTCCTCAATCGCACCAAACAAGGCTTAAATTATACTACTTCCATCTTTAATTGTTGGGATGTTATTAATTTTTATGAAATTTAAGAAAAAAAGCTTTGATTTTCATGTATTTAATATTAAATTTTAATTTTTTTTTATAAAATTAAAGTTTTATGATTTTTAAAATCAAAAATAAAAAAATTATAAAAAATAATTATATAATATAAAAAATTAATAGTTTTAAATATTAAAAAAATAATTTTGAAATATCCAAAAAAGAAATGAACAAAAAAAATGAGAGTGAGTACAAGAAATGACCTCTAATAATCTTTTCTAAAGTTGAAGTTATGGAATCTCATCTCCTGTAAGGACTTCTTTAATTTTTTGTACCCAAAAAAAAAAAAGTAAACAAAAGACAATCCCTTTCTTCCAAACCCTTAACAAGTCATGCTTAAATATTCCTTCATTCTTTCCTTCCATATGCTCCCAATCAACAAGCAATTATATGAATTTCTTTTTTTTTTTTTTGTTCAATATTATTCAAGTTTTTTTTTTTAAAGCAGTAGCTAGAATTAATTTGCGTGAACAAATTGTTCATTAAATAATACTTAAAAAGTTAAATGTAATATTTATGTTTCGATATTAAAACAAAATCTCCTATTTGCAAGTATATAAATGCTTCCAAATTTCTTATAAACGTTCTATCCAGACTCTTTGTAATTTGGTTTTGTATTCTTCAACTCTTTCAACACTCACAAATCACAATACTCTTGTCCATCTTCACTCTCACTTTCTCATCTGCATTTACCTATCCTTCCTTTGTGTGTTTGTTTGAGAATTGAGATCATGGACATCAAACCTTTCCTTCATGAACACTACTTGCTCTTTGATAAATACAAGGATCAAAAGGCATGTTGTGATCATTGCAATCAGCGAATTGTTGGTTGGGCCTTTACTTGTGAAACCTGCAAGTTTTGGCTACATGAATCATGTGCTAAACAACAATTGCCTGGTCAGATTCCACATCCTCTCCATTCTCAACACCTTCTCACTCTGCACGTCGCTCGTAGTTTTTATATTTGTGATAGATGTTTGAGTCTTACTCAAGGCTGCATATACAGTTGCAAGAAATGTAATTTAAACCTTGATCTCATATGTGCTTCTTTAACTACTCCTTATAAGACCCCTCAGGAAGCTAGCGAAAGATCTCATCATAGACATAAAACCATTCAGTATTTCAGCCACTCACATAGATTGAGCCTATTCAACTATAGGAAAGTGCGAAAGGATGAGTATAGTTGTAGATGGTGTGAGAAGCTTCTGTCAGGAATGCCCTATGGTTGTCTCCGTTATCCATGTTCTTCTAGAGAGGTCTTCTTTCATGAATCCTGTTTGTTTAATATGCCCAGTATGATCTTAAAACATCACTTTCATCCATCACACCCTCTTCACATACACACATTCTACTCCGAGTCTCCCATTTGCAATGCTTGTAAAGATCGATTCGAATCTCAAGAGATTGGATATACTTGTCAAAAATGCCAATTCCACCTTCATGTTAATTGTGTTACATTCCAACCCAGTCTAAAACATGAGTTGCATGAGCATCATCTTACTTATTTTCAAATAAAAAAGTACACCGGTTCTCTCCAATGTAAGGTGTGTTATAAGAATATTAGACTGCACAAGAGAGAGAGTGTTTTTTATCGTTGTGTGGATTGTGATTTCAACCTCCATCTCCATTGTGCATCATTACCATTTACTATTAAACACGAGTATCACAGACACGAACTTACGCTTATGGATTCATTTATAGAAGATGGATCTAATGACTGTTATTGTGATATTTGTGAGAAAGAAAGAAAACCAAAACACCATGTCTATTGCTGTAAAAAATGCACATTTGTTGCTCATATCGGATGTGCGCTCCATAGGGTAAGTTAGTAAAATAAAGCTTAATTAATTAGCCTCTTTCAACATTTCTTTCAAAAATAAAAAATTAAATTCTTCGGATTAGAATCTTAACGTTACATTTTTTTTGTGCTAATATTTCGAATTCCCCAGTCTATAGATAACAACTTTGAGCATGGGTCGACATCTAGCTTGGTGGATAGAGAAGTCACTATAGGGAAAGTGACAGGGCAAAAGGGAACAGAGGTAAGAAATAAAGACTTCCCTACTCATCTCAAGGTAGTTGGGTCGGTAAAATAATTGGAAATATTAGAGGGTATATTTATAGAATGACATTACTATATATTATGTAGTTAAACTAATTTAATTTTTATTTAATGAAAAGTGTTACATAAGGAACTTTTTGTGTTTTCTTTATAAGCTTATTTATCTTATTTTTCAATAACAAAAATGAATATGCCCCATTTCAATTATCTAATTTCCATCTCTTTTAGATCTTAACACCAAAAAAAAAAATTTATAGATGAAAGTTTTGGACCTGTTATAAATGTAGGTAAAAATCTAACTTTTCATTATTATTTATTTTACCTGCTTGTACTTTGATTTTTATTCTTTTTTTTGGGGATATACAAGAACTTTTCATCTAAATATAATAATTACCAACTATAAGAAAAATATAAGCAATAAATTATTTAGGTCCTATTGTCCATAATATCTAATACTTCCTTTGTTTCATTTTCTTTGTTTATTTTTTTTTAGGATGTCCAAAACTTATATAATTTTTTTAACATTTAAAACTTTTACTTTTTTTATTTTAAAATTATTTTTATGATTTTTTTATTTTTTACATTAAAAATCATAGAACTTTAATTTTATAAAAAATTTTAAATTTTAATTTTAAAATATTAAAGTCAAAACTTTTTTTAAACTTTGTGAAAGTTAACGGTACCCAAACAATTTGAGACAAAAAGAATATATGATACATAATATTACCAATATTTGAATTATTTTCAATGGAGCCTAATTTAATTGAAAAATTAAAAGTTTGAATAAAATAATGGCACAACGTTTCATATTTTTAACAATTTGATCATTTTTAATGTACATATTTAAAATTTTTTTTATTTTAAATTATCTCCATCTTTTGTTATCGTCTTTTAACATAAGAGAAAATAAAGGTAATTGAAAATGAATACTAATTAGTAATTACCTCTTTGTAATTAAATTTGTTCATTCAATCTCATTTTTCACCTTTGAAATGCAGATCGACTATTTTGATCATGAACATCCCTTAAGATTTTACGAGGTTATTAGAAAAAATGAAAGTTTTCTCTGCAAAGCTTGTACGCTGGAAATCTATGATCAAGCCTATGTTTGTAAATATGGATGCAAATACTACTTACACAAAGCATGCACCAAATTGTCCCATGAGCTGCTACACCCTCTTCATCCCCAACATTCTCTCAAACTCATTACCAGTCGGTTTCAGTTTACATGTGACGAATGCAGACAGTGGTTTGATGGGTTTTGTTATAGGTGCTATGCGTGTGATTTCAAACTTGATGTGAAATGTGCTACTTTATCAGTGCCTGAAAATGAGAGCCAAAGGCTAAAAGAGATGGAGACACGATCCAAGTTGTGCCCTTTCAACCAACACCATAAGCTAAACTTCTTCATTTATGGGTCCACTCTACGGTTCTATCCCGAATGCCATTTTTGTGACCAACAACTCCAGGGACCATCTTATGAATGCATTTATTGTGAATATAAGCTTCATGAATCCTGCCTTGAATTTCCCCTGGAGATGCAACTCCATTTTCATCCACTACACAGCCTTCGCCTAATTCCCTTCGCAAGAAAAACTTGTCTTGTCTGCAAATACTTGATCTATAGGAAGATCAGGTATAGTTGTCTGCAATGTGATCTCCACGTTCATCCTTATTGTGCTAAATCCCAGAAGCGGACAGTAAAATCTAAGTCTCACATGCATAATCTTTATTATTTTGGACCAAATGCTGGGAGTGGCTTCTATCGTGATAAAAAAACATGTGATGAATGCAAAGAAAGGTTTTCTCGTACTCCTTTCTATTTTTGTATGGAGTGTGGTATCATGTTGCATATTAAATGTACTGTACCACATTCAGTTAAATCCAAATATCACATCCACCCCTTGACTCTTAAGGATTATTTTAAGGAAGATGATTCGGGAGAATATTATTGCGACATTTGCGAAGAAGAAAGGGATCCACAGCATCATTCATATTACTGTGCAAAGTGTGAAGCGCCGTTTGTTGCTCACATAGATTGCGGGCTCAATTCGGTAAATTCACCCACTATACATAATCTTCAATTCAGAACTTAATTGCTTTTATATTATTGAATTATTTGAAGGAAAATAAGCATAGAAATCTGCACGGACACATCATCACAATATATAATTACATATATGCACCATATTTCATGTTTATTGGAGAATTTATATATTAATCTAACCACTTTTATCTATAGTTCAATTTCATACGCTTCTTTTAGTTTATGTTTTGTTATAGGCCAAAAAAAATGAAATTTTATGTCTCTGGTTAATCTTGTCGACCAAACATACAATACTTTACCTCTATTGATGAAAAATTAATGAAGTCTGACAGCAAAATCAATGCTTTAAATCAGGTTGAAGAAAACGCAGAAGCAGAAGAGCCATCCACAAATCTGGCATCAGACTTTGATCACACCTAAACACAAGCTATCTGAGAACGAAATGTACGGATGAATCAACAGGAGGAGCAAAGCAATGGTGAAAATTTAGCAGCGGAGGAATCAACAGAAGAGCCAAGATGGTGATGAAGAAAATTAGTTCTGCCCTTACTTTGCTAGATGAAGCATAATTCCTTCAAGGAAACTGTTATCACTTGAAGGAAGGAAAGGACTGCATTGTATATATTTTTCAAATTACTGCAACTATATATGTTAGTATATTGCATTCATTCTCCTATATAATTTAAACGATTTGAGCATTCAGTTGAAATATTCTTTCACTACTTAGTTTGCATTGTCATAACATGTAAGATCTGATTGCTTTATCCAGTGGAAGAAACTGTGCTAGTAATAGAAACAGCATTAAATTTGTGATCGGACCTTGAGGATATACCAATAGAGGAAAGGCAAAGAAAAAAAAATCAACAGGGAAATTAATGTTAGGCCAAACAGCCTCAATCAATCAGATCAACGAAAGTAAAATTAAATAATCAATTAATCATACAAAATAGAATAATTTAATATGATTCGATCTAATTAACCTACGTCTATGGATGAAAAATAAAATCTACTAATTGTAGAGAATTACAAACATACATTAAAATATATCAATCATTCAATAATTAATATCCATAGACACTCTTAATCTCCTCTAGTCCACTCAAAATAAACATACATACCCATAACGCGTAAATAATCTATTTTCTTTTAAAAAAATTTTTCTACAAGTCTTCTTTTTCATCAAATAATATGTAACAAATCCTAAACAAATCTGTTATGGGATTTGAGTCACTGTTCCTAATAATCTCCACTTTGACTTAAATTATATGTCTTCATGTTAGACATACTTGATTTCACATGTAATGAAAGTCTCACAATCATCTTTTCTTGTGAGTTTTCATGCTTCACGTAAATCAATCTATCAAAGCATAAACTCAAACTCTTCTCTTGAATCGAGTTTCTCTGAGTTTACCTCTTCTTCTCATGGCTCGAACCATCAGCTTTTCTTACATTTTAAACTTTCAACTCCGATACCACTTGTTAGGCAAAAAGGCCTTAATCCAATCAGGTTAAAAGAAAGTGAAATCAAATAATCAGTCAATCACACAAAAGAGAATAATTTAACGTAGTTCAGTCAAACTGACTTATGTCTACGAATGAAAAATAAAATTTACTAGTTGTAGAGAATTACAAACATATATTAAAATATATTAACCACTTAACAATCAATACCCATAGACCCTCTCAATCTCCTCTAGTCTTATGGAGTATTCTCAACCTAAATAAACAAATTTCATGTAGACCCGTAAATCTTCAGTAATCTTATCGGATGTCTATCCCACAAAATTTTATAATTTTTTTATATATTTTTCTCATACATAATCTTTAGAGATTTCACGTATTTATAATTATGTAAACTTACCTATTAAAAATCTTTTTTCATTTAGAATTTTTCTGCAAATCAAGCTTGTTTATTAAGAATTTTTTTCTTTTAGAATTCTTCTTTTACAAATCTTTTTATCTATAAAGTAATATCTAATAAATTTCAAACAAATCTCTTATAAAATTTAAATCACTATTCCTAACAATTAATAGAACAAAAAGAAGAGCAACTTAGACAGGAAATTGATCCTACCCCTGTTGGACTGGATAAATCATACTCAATCTCTAAGGATTAGAGAGATACTATTAATGCTATTAATCTGTAAATAGAATTTTGGAGCTACATATCGTTTCATTATTATGGCCCCATGAACACGTTGCTGTAAGCTCATCAGCACTCATGACCTTCCCTCAGTCTATTGATTCTTTGCTATTCTGCCATGACAATTGAAAATAAAAATAACATTGCATTTCTTCTAAGTGGCTTAATATATAATCATGCAATTGAATCAAATCTACAAATCTATCTTAGACAAGAGATTTCGTGAACCATAACTTTTCTAGTCAACAATGATCAGTCGCGGTTTTGAGAGGTGGGTCTGTTTCTTAAAGTAGCTGATTATATGTTGCCAATTTTTATGAAAAGGAAACAATTCATAGGAGCTTCAATCTAACCTATCTATAAGTTCTTTTGGTCATTGATTAGAAACCATTACAAGAAATAAACAGAAACAAATTATAAAAAGAAAAGTTAGAAGAAGATCACTTCTAAGTTCATAGGCTTAAATAAATTGAGAATTGAGCTTAAATTTCCTTATTAGACTATAAAAGTTTCAAATATCCTCATTGGTTATAGTTTTTAGTATATAGACGAACATTTTGTGCGAAATACTTTCTTGTTTTTATATATTTTTTATTAGAATATTATAAACTAAGGACGAAATTGATTCCAATAGAGGAAAGCAACGTTTGTTTAAATCCAAATTTCCCAAAATTTCAATCTCCCCTTTGAACTTTTTTGGCAAGAAATAAAATTTTGATTAAAAATTAAATTCAAAATTAAATTTAATTAATTTATTAAATTATCTTTAACAGATAATATTCAATAAATTTAAAATTAAAACTCAAATTCATGTAATTTTTTTCCTTTGGTTATGATTTTGTTAAAAAATAATAATTTGACCAAAATCTAGATAATATAAAATAAACTGAGAAGAGGGAATTCCAACTGGACCTGAAAAACAAAAGAGTATCCGATGAACAAAAAACTACCACTAATTTATGGCCCCACTATTTTTTTTCTTTTTTTTTTTTAATTAATTCATTCTTTTTTGTTTAGCAGCCTTTCATAATCACTCACGCCACCAAATCAAATAAAAATTAGAAATTATACTTACACCCATTGAATTTTATCAATTTACAAATAAATCCTAAGTGAGATAAGATTTCATTTCCTTTTTATAAAGATTACAATGCAATTTCACCTTTAAAATACTAAAAATAGCTTAATTTTTATATTTAAAAGAAATTATTTTTATACTTAAACTTATTTATTTAAAGATTAAAATTAAGATTGTAATAGAATGAAATTTCATGATTTAAATTATTAATACAATTATAAGATATTAAATGTAAAAAACATGAAATCTACGGGGGCGGAAATATGGTTTTCCCTAAAAATAGAAAGACAAGAAAAGACGGGTACGTTTCCTACTTGTAATAAAAATCGTCTTTGTTGAAACCGAGAAGAAAAACCAATGCCACCACGTGTTAATCAGTAAAGAATATTTCTTTCCTGTGCTGTTCCCTTCCCTGTTTTGGTACTCTGTTTAATTTTTTTTTTTTTTTTGCGCCAAAAACATCAGCTTTTCTATTCTATCCAATCACCAACTTTTCAGGGATTCATTTATTCTTGATTTCAACACCATTCCAAGTAAGATTCTTTGATACCCTTTTTGGATATTTTTCATTTTTTGAGAAAAAAAGTTTTACTTATATAATATATGGACCATAATTTAGATTAACCTTTGATGCCCAATTCTCAGAAAAGCTTCTTTTGTTGAATTTTGTTTTTTCTAGTTACTTGTGGTAAGTTATGAAATGGGTTGTTTCTGATTTTTATTATTAATAGGCTTTTTTTGTGTGTGTTCTTGGATTTGTCTGCAGAAGAGGAGCAAAGCAATGGCAAAAAAAAATTCAGCAATGGAAGAATCAAAAGAAGAGCCAACAGGGTGATGAAGAAAATTATAGTTCTGCCCTTTGTTAGATGAAGCATAATTCCATCAAGGAAACTATCAGAACTTAAGGAAAGTGCATTGTATATATTTTTCAAAATTCTGCAACTATATCACCATCTTGCATTCTCCTATATTTTAGTCAAGAGATGTCACTCATGATCAGATGATCATATGCCACATAGCTAGGATCAGATGATCAGTTGAGGTTTCCAGAGGTGGGTCTGTCACTAATGGAGCTTGAAATTGAACAACCATTACAAGAAATAAACAGAAACAAATAAAAAAGAGAAGTTAGAAGAAGATTACAGGGTTTTGGAAGCTTAATATCAAGGTCACTCCTGACTTTCATTTGTGCAGTGAGAGGTGCCTTCTTAGCCACTATTGCCATGGCATCTTTTGATAACTCGTTTCCTGTATCTTTGCAAAGAGAAAGTTCTGTATTTTCACTAGAAAAAGCACACTTGATTTTTGTATTCATTGCATGAAGTTACTTGCTAGACCTAGACGTCAACATGGATGGACGTGGATTTTTACGAGGAAAATTTGCATGTCTTGGCAAGCTTTCCTTTGCAAAAAAATATTATTATTATTATTATTATTATTATTATTATTATAAAACCATTGAAACTTACTTTCATTTCAATTTCTAAAAATAATTGATTTAATTATTAAAATCAAATGTTTAAATGTTGTGATTCTAATTTTTTAATACTTATTATGTAACTATGAATAAACTTAACGTGATAGATCATTATGAGTCTTTTTTTTTTATTTTCATTCGATATAAATAAAATTTCTAATGCTTGAGTAAGACTTATATCAAGATTTCAACCTACTTAAAATTAAATTTTATTTTTTTATATAAATAAAATTAAACTTTTAATTTCAATGATCAAAATTTAAATTTTAAGAATCTTAAATATAAAAAAAAAAACTATATTTAACAAATATTTATAGTGTATAAAATACAAATAAACAACCCTTGATTTTGTTTCTCATCAAATGACTTGTGTTTTTATCAACTTATCAAGGTTATCAACTTTATTATCATCATTATTTTAATTTCACAATTATATAATACATAAAATTTTGAAAAATTTATTACAACTTGGGAAGTACTATGATGTAATTAATTTCAGCTTCAAAATTTTGTTCACACTTGGAAAGTACCAGAAAACCAAACCAAGAGGGAACACCATCTAAACAATAAATTTTATTACTATACCATGTACAGTATTTTCCTTTGAATATGTGACATAGCACTTTCTCCTTTTTTTTTTCTTTTTTTTATGGGTTTTTTTGTTTATTTAAAATTTAAAAATTTTTACTAGCTTTAAAAAATAATTTACTGATTTTTTTAAATTTTATAAAAAGTTTTTAAGATGGACCTACTTTATCAAGTTTGTTTTTTCTTTTTTCTATTTTTTTTCTTTTTGTATCCACCAATTAAATAAATTTTGTTTTGTATGGAATTTAACCCCAGTGCCACGTGCGCATCCCCATTTTTTTTTTAATTTTTAAACTCTTTTATAATCTTTTTATTTTGTTTTTATTTTTTTCAATTTTTATATTTAATATTTTTTTTTCATTTAAATTTTTTAAAGCTAGGATATATACACTTTACACTAAGCTTCTTTTTTTTTCTTCTTTAATTTCTTCTTTTAAACGTTTTTATAAATATATTTTTTAAAGATTTTAAATTCCTTTTTGTATGGAACACACTTGATATCAAAGGCATGCCACATTTTTGCTTTTTTTTTTTTCTTATTTTTCTTATTTTTTAAAATTTAATAAATATTTAAAGATTTTAAATTTTTTTATGGGATCCACTTGATACCAAAGCTATGTCAAGCCATGTCATTTACATCTTTTTTCTTTCTTTTATTCTTTTATCTATTTTAATATTTAATAAATATTTTTAATATTTTTTAAAATTTTGAATCGAGGTCCATTTGATATTATTGATTAATTTTTTTAAAAAAATATTATGGAGGTGTCTTTGTCACATAGAGATTTCATTGTTCCTTCTTTTATCTTTATTTATTTTTAAATTCATGATATAAATATATGTTTTATTTTTCATTTAATTTTAATTTTGTATATATATATATATGTACCATATAATAAGATAATTATTTATAACCATAATTTAATAAATCCACCTACCATTTTCATTTGGCTTCCTTTTCTGTTTTTTCATCATTTCTTTGTTTATACTTTAAATCATGCATATAAACGAAGATTCTACGATGTGTCACGTGCCATTTCAATACATTTTCTCTTTTTCCTTTCTTTTTTTTCTTTTTTTAATATTTAATTAATTTTTTTTTTATTTTTAAGCTTTTTATAAGTGGGACTCATTTGATATTATTGATTAAAAATGTATATGTTTTCATTCTTTTTTATTTTTATGTATTAAATCTATATTCGATGGGTTTCAATTTCTCTAGATCCAATAGATGTATTTTTTAATTTGAGATCAGATCAAGATTTTCTTTTAAAAATTAATGTCAAATTGGATGCGAGTTTATGGTGTTTTGCTTCTCTAAATATATATAAATATACATGCTATTATTTATTTTAATTTTCTATTTCTATATACACATTTTATTAACAAATTATTATTTAATATTTTAATTTAATAAATCTAGATTGCATCCTCATTTGGCTTTATTTTATTTTATTTTATTTTATTTTATTTTTTCATTTTCACATGGCATCCCAATTATCTCTTTTTTATTTTTTTTGTTTATTTTTCCTTTTTCTTCATTATTTTTTCTTTTTTGGATTTCAATTAATAACGATATTATTTAATATATTAATTAAATATATTAATATTTTAAACTCAATTGGAATGTCATATAGTATCTCGCAGAGTCCTTTTTCCTTTTTGTTTTGTTTTTCTTTTCCTTTTTTATTTATATTTTTATGCTTTTTAAATTAAATTAATTTTTTGAAAAAAAAAAGGGCCAACAATAATTTTGTATACACTCACATTTGACTTTTTTTTCTAATTTTTTAATTTAAAAAATTTTTTAAAAATGTGTCAATAGATAGATATATTAAAATAATTTATATTAAATAAATTTTAATTTATCTCGATCCGATATAAGAAAATTTTTTCAAATTAAGATCGAACTGATATGAATAGAGCTTTTTTTAGAAAAATAAAATCAGAGTAGAAGCATATTAAAACTATTTTGACCTAACTCATATCGAAATACATATATATATATATATAAGTATATATTTTACTATTAATTTATATATATAATATTTGATGCATTAATTTAAAAAATTAATATTTTAAATTCAACACGATATCCATGTGGTTATTTTTTATTTTTTTACTTTTTTATTCTTTTAATTACATAAAATTTAAAAGAAAAATGAGGTAATTGATATATCTACGTCACTCTTATTTAGCTTTATCTTACGTTATTTCTTTTTTTTTTAATTAAATAAATTTTGAGATAAAAAATTAAATTGATAAACCTAACAAAATAAAAAAAAATTGACCCTTGACAATGCACGAATAATCATACTAGTACTAGTAATTTCTGTCATTGAAAATTGTAGTGCTACAGAAAGAAAGCAATGTTTGTTAAAATCTAAATTCCCAAAATTTCCAGAAATAATTTGTCCAAAATCCAGATAACATAAAATAAACTAAAACAAGAGAAATTTCAAAGTGGATTTGCAAAACCAAAAGAGTGAAAAAAAAAAAAAAAAAAAAAAAAAAAAAAAAAAAAAAAAAAACACTAGCACTTGTTTATGGGCCCACTAATTTATTCATTGTCTTTTGTTTAGCAGCCTTTCATAATCGCTCACACCACCAAAATGATAAACTATACTTACTCCCCTTGAATTTCTTATTTTTGCAAATAAACCCTTAACAACAATAATAATTCATTTCCTTTTATAAAGGTTACAATGCAATTTCACCTTATAAAAAATAGTTTTATTTTTACATTTAAAACGAAATCATCTTTTATACTTAAACTTATTTATTTAAAGTTTAAATTCAAGATTGTAATCGGAATGAAATTTCATGTTTTGAATTTGTCAATACAAGCATAGGACATTACATGAAATCTAAGGGGCAGAAATATGGTTTTCCCAAAAAAAAAAACAAATAAACACACGGACGTTTCCTACTTGGAATAAAATTCGTGTCTTTGTAGAAACCGAGAAGAAAAGAAAAACAAAAACAAAAACAAAGGCGCCCTTTTTGGATAATCCAAAAGGAATATTTCATTCATATGCTGTTTCCTTTCCCTGTTTTGGTACTCTGGTTTTCTTGGTCTCCAAAAACATCAGCTTTTCTATTTTATACAATTGCCAACTTCTCAGGGATTCATTTGTTCTTGATTTCAACAACATTCAAAGTAAGATTCCTTGATACCCTTTTTGGATATTTTTAATTTTTTGAAAAAAAAAGTTTTACTTACAAAATATATTGACCATAATTTATTAACCTTTGATACCCAATTCTTAGAAAAGCTTCTTTTATAGAATTTTGATTGTTTTTTAATTAGTTGTGGTAAGTTATGAAATGGGTTGTTTCTGTTTTTGATTAATAATAGGCTGATTTGTTGGGTTTTTTATGTTCTTGGTTTGGTCTGCTTTGGTTATTAAGGACGCTGTGTTATTGGTTATTTGCTTTCTGAAGTGTTTTTTCAGGTTTTGTCTAGCAACTTCATTGATTGGAATTTGGTTTTCGGGTGGTGGGGAAAGTCGTCACCTTTTTTTGTGTGATCATGTCTTGGACAAGTGAGAGGTGATGGTTTGTGAGTTTACTAGGGGCTTTCTTGTGTTATTATTATTATTTTGGTATTTTGGGCTTTCTTGAGGTTACTCTAAGTAAATTTCCTTATTGTGGCTTTCATAGACTTTGTAATTTTTTTTTTTTCATTTTTACAATGAATAGGTTTTTATGTTATTTTTGTTTGACTAGAACTTGAAATGGATTTAATTGGACAGTGGCCTTTGGTTGATTTATGTCCTGCTAGTAGTTCTCCATTCTTTCATTTGTCAAAAATCAATTTATTTGCTTGCTCATGGAGATTCTGCTTCCACTTTTAGAGATATCCACTTGTTCGTCAAGAAATTGTATCGCTTTTTATGTGATTTTTCTTTGGACATGAACATGAGATGGATTTGGTTGGACAGCAGATTCTGGTTGATCCGCATCCTGCTAATACTTCTGTAGATTCCATTTGCTCAAATCTTGCTTTTTTACGGTGCTTCTGCTTCAATATTTAGAGATATCAACTTGTTGGTCAAGATATTGGGACTCTTTTGGTGTAAATCACTTCAATTTTTTTTTTTTTTGGTTCTTTACTTTTTTCTTTTTATGACAGAAGTAAATTATATTGTATTTCTTTTGTTCCCCCTAAATGATCTCCTTTTTTCTGGAAATAAATGGTCTCTTTTTTGGCTTTGACTTATTGCTATGAGATTAATGGAGTGGTTGTAAATACTGAAAAGATTCAAATTTATATGGAAAACCATTGTAATGGTTCCTTTTTGGTTGGGGTGAAGTGAAACTGTCATTTCGCATATGATGGTTTTACTTTTTTAGTTTGTATGTTATAGAAATCATTTTGTAGTGGTCATGTCATCATTATTTGTAGTTCATGGTTCATGATCAAGAAATGGACATGGTCATACTTTTATTTGATTATAACTAATAGAGTCGTGTAACCATGTCCTATGATAATGCAAAGTAAGTTTAGAGCCACTGAATCAAAGATTGTTGAATTTCTTGATATATGACGTTAACAAGCATCTTGCTTTGTTTATTCAGGTTGCTGATATTTATATATAAAACAGCTGATAATCGGGAACTTTGGTCTCTGCTGCTATGTCTTCATCTTTTCCAGCTCTCCCTACTCCTTTCAAAGTGAGTTATCCCATGTTGTCTGGTCCTTTACAGGTTTCCTCAGGAAGGGAAGTGATGAAAGCCTCTGTATTACCAAAAGAATCTCTGTTACCCTTACCCACTGATGGAACCCCTGGGAATTTGTTTCCATCCCTTTCCATAACCACCAATGACATGCATGCCTCAGCTCTAGCACGTGATCAACATTCTCAAAATCCTGCCTTCATTTCTCAGTCTTCAAGGGAATTAGCATCTTTGCCACCAATCGATTCTTCATTTTCAGAACAGCCCTCAGCTTTAATTAATCACCCACAGGAAAATAATGTTTCTTGGTGTTTAGATCGGCTTCAAAACTTTCTTGATTTGCCTGAAAATGTTCCTGGTCCAAATGAGCTGGTGGAAAGCAGCACTGGTGTCATGGCGTCTAACGACCACAATAAGAGAATCAATTGGCAGGAGTGGGCGGATCAGCTGATCTCTGTTGATGATGCTCTGGATACAGACTGGAATGAGATTCTTGGTGATACCAATGTCTCAGATCCCAAACTGAAGGTATATGTTCCTGAATTTTATTAGATAGAATTGGTGCAGAAACGTCTTAAGCAACTTTTGAGGTTAATTGTTTAATTTCTTTGGCAGATGATCAGTTTATTCTTTGTTATTTTCTGGTTTTACAATTCTCAGGGTGATACAATTTTGCCACTGCTGCTATTAACTTCAAATCAACTTTTGAAACTTTCCTTCTTTAGAAACTATATAAAATCTGATTCTCTTTATAACATTTAAGTACCAAAATTCAACTAACTCATGAATTTTCATACTATTTCCTACTTAGCTTCCAAGGACATTTTCCCATGGAGAAAAAGTACTTGCTTGTGGATGAAAACCCCATTATCTTAGCCGTTTGCTTTTAAAGCGGACAAGATCTATCTAGCCAAGTTATAGATGTGCCATCAGAAGCTTTGTTTGTTTTTTTTTTTTTTTTTTTTTAACTATATTTGGTTTTGTTTGAGTGTCTGTGTGTGTTTTTCATTTCTTTTGGTTTATGAAAAAACTAAAAAATGTATCAGGTGCTGAAACCTTCCGGTGATATCTCAAAGCAACAGCCTCAGTTTCATCAGAATCAACCTGCAGCACATGGAGAATTTTCTAGCGATGCTTACCCATCGATCACTGCTCCTCCAACCAAGCCCCGTATGCGTTGGACACCAGAGCTTCATGAGGCTTTTGTGGAAGCTGTTAATCAGCTGGGTGGCAGTGAACGTGCGTATTACTCATTTTGTAAATTTTCTCATTACTACTATGTAGGCAATGATTTATATACATCATTTGCTAATTTTGGCTAATAATTTAAACTTACAGGAGCTACTCCAAAAGGTGTCTTAAAGCTCATTAATGTTGAAGGCTTAACAATCTATCATGTTAAAAGTCATTTGCAGGTCTTTATGTAATCTCGTCTTATTTGTCCCTTTAACTACTGTCTCTAACAAGCTTGTAATTTTACTGGAATATTTTCCTATTCTGAATGCAGAAATATAGAACCGCCAGATACAAGCCAGAATCATCAGAAGGTAATACAACTGGAATACTTTCAACTACTTTTTGCTGTATTTTCTTAGTACCATTTTGAATTTTCTTGTCACATAATTGTCTGCCTAGGATACAATTCTGTTGTTCCTCTCTATCTCTTTCCCTTTGATGTGCGCAAGCAGTAGCACACATGACACACCCATATAACAACTCAATGCAGTAAGAGAACTGGTTAAAATGTATTGCTTGCATCTCATTGCAGGAACGTCAGAGAAAAAAATGACTTCAATTGAAGATATGAAATCCTTGGACTTGAAGACGTAAGTGACTTTCTCTTTCCTCATATCTCAAAATAAAGTTTTAATTTCTACCCTTTTTCTTTTGAATTTTGTTCTATTGAAGTGTTATTTATCTGTCCGTAGCTCAATCTAGTAGATTTTTTTTTTTGTTTCAAAATCCTGAATAAATAAGCTGATTTTGGCCTTGAAATTTTTTATTACAGGAGTATTGGAATTACTGAAGCATTGCGATTGCAGATTGAAGTTCAGAAGCAGCTCCATGAACAACTCGAGGTATGATACTGGTAGCTAAGCATTACTCTGTTTGATTTTCAGCTGCAGATTATGCAGGTCAACGTAATGCATTGATATGTCTTCTTTCTTATATAATAACTTCCTTTTCAAGCTTACCACCTTAGTGTATTGAGTTTTCTTAATATACTACTCGGTTTCATCATTGTTACTTGGACTCTTCAATTTTCCAAACATGGAACTGGGAAGCATGTCGTGTAGAAGAAATGGGTAAGATGGACCAAAATTTGCACGCATGCAACATTAAAAAGCCAAGGTGCATACACATATAAAAATGCACATATTTTCTGATTCCTGGTACCTTCTGCCTCCAGATTCAGAGAAATTTGCAATTGCGAATTGAAGAACAAGGGAGGTATCTGCAGATGATGTTTGAGAAACAAAAAAGAATGGAGGATGAAAAGAGTGGGGGGACTTCTTCTGCCCTAGATGCCCCTCCTGCACCATTACCAGGCTCAATGTTCCCATCTTGTACCGCTGATAAATCAGAAGTCTTAGAGCAAGTTCACACAAGAACTGGAATTACTACTGGAAATGCTAGCACTACAGAGGAAAAAAGTCCCCAGGATGTAAGCAGGAAGCAAAAGGGATCAGAAACAGAAACAACTGACCATGTAGAGACAAATGAGGATGAGTCTGGTTCCCCACTCTCAAAACGAGCAAGAACAGAGAAATAGCAGCATTGTTGACTTAGCATCTGACAAATAATCTTTCTATAGCATTGCTCCTGGAGATGCTGTTGTAAGACAGAAACCAGGGGTTTTTGAAACATTAGATCTTAGATCTATCTTTACATGACTCAATGGGTGACTTAGATATGATATTCTTTTCATTTTGAAAGAATTATAGGTTCTGCTCTTGATTGTTGACCTTTCTAATCTAAAACATTTGCCTTGAGAAGACAAATTGGTTTTTTATCTTGCTTGTGCAATCTCTTTATGGTTATGCTTTGTAATTGAGAAAAAGTTGCAGATGTTAATAATTTGAATTCAAACTTGTTAGATGTCATTAAGTTATTGCTTAAACCAAATGAGCTAAGCTTTTAGTCCTTCTCAAGATTCATATAGTTGATTTAGATTTCTGCATGAATCACATTTGGATATAAAGAGTCAGTTGATTTGATGATTATATCAAGAAAGATAAATCCTGTCATACAAACTTATAAAACAATGTAGACAAGCTAAACAAGACAGACGTATCATCCAAATCAGGACTCATTTAGAGAGAAATCCGGGAGGATTTTCAGTTCTTCACTAAAAATCTAATGCTTACACAAACCAAACCAATAAATTAAACCAAGCCCTAGCAGCCTCAAGTAAAAAATAAAATAAAGTATGCAACGGAAAAATATATAAACATAAGTATCCATGGGAATGCTGCAGGAAGAACACTTTCATCTTCCAGGATGACTCACAGTTGAAGAGAACTGTTATACTCCTGCAATCCCTCCATCTAAAGCTCTCTCCAACCTTACCTCAAATGGAATTGCATTCCACTTAAGTCTCTCTTCCTGCACAACCAAAAAAATTATCAGTGCCAACATATATGTAAAATGTATATGAAGACCAATGAAAACTCACTTGGTATGCCTGAATGTTTCTGCTCCTTGTTCTCGATTTTCCTTTGCTAGGAGAGCTTGAATCAGAATCTATTGTCTGACCAGTATGACTCCAATAACTCCCAACAGTCCCTATAATAGGTGTTTCATCTGGACTTTGGCTCCTGCACTTTCTTGGAGATGTAGACGCATAATGTTTTTTGAGTTCTTCCTTTGTTAATGCTCCTAAAATGGGCCTATCGTCATGACTTCTTGAGGAATTTGTTTTGTTGGATGCTGAATTCCCAGCTGAATTAGAACTAGCCTTCGAATTCAGTGTGTTTTCAGGTTCCACTAACCAGCTAGAAAGACTTGTATCAACAGCAATTTCGTGGCTTACCAGCATCTTGTCATTGGACCAGAACTTTGAACTGAAAGTTTCAAGCTTAAAACTAGGCTCTGGACTAGTAACCATTTTATCAAATTCTAGCTCTAGATTGATGTTCTCCTTTTCTTGATCAGGCTTCAATGGTATGCTTGCTTTTGCCTTGACTTCTTTCCATTGAGCAAGATTTTCTACAGGATTCAAAACTGATTCAAGATGCTCAACACCTCTATATTTAGAATTTGGATTTAACCCAATTGGCTTGACTTCTTCGGTAGGTGATTTATCAATTGGCGTGGGACTAGTAACTTCCTTCTCATCTGATTCAACTTCACAAACTTGTTTCCTAGACTCTATTGACAAAGAAAACAGTGACTCAGATGACTCTTCCATAACCAATTGTGACTCATTTTCAGCCTTACCCTCCTCATTATCATCATCTAAATCACTTACTTCTAAATCCAAATCTTCCAATTCATCCTCACTTTCTGCACAGCTGTTCTGATATCTATTATTTTGAGACTTGCAAACTACATTTGAAGTAGTCAAATCAAAAACAGAAGATTTAGCTGTTTCTTTTGTCTCCTCACGCTCCTTATCTTCATTATTTTTCAACAACTTGTCAGCAGATTCAACAGGGAATTCTTCATGATTCTTCACATTCAAATCAAAAGTCACCTTCTTTTTACCACAGTCATTCAATAGCTCCCCAAGCTTCTCTCTACAATAATTTATATCAAACAAGAAAATTAACGCATGCATAAACATAAACATAAGCAAGCAAACAAATGCTCCTCAGACAACAGTTAAAAAAAAAATTTAGTCCTGCAACTGGACAGCCATAACTTACTTTTTCACTATAATGGGGTTAAAGGGTATCCCAAAATCTTCTTCCTTACTGGATTGAACAGCTTCATTGGCTTCATGTTTCTAGATGGAACAAACATCAAACAAGCATAAAAAAAGAAAAAAGAAAAAAAAAAGAGAAAGAACCCCATGAATTATAAAGCCTGGAAAGTGAAGAAAAAACTAACCTGATCATTAAATGAAGTCCCATCCACCAAATGCTGATGTTTTTTACTCTTGGAAGCAGAAAAACAAGCAAAAAAGCAACCCATTATTAGCCTTATTGATTTCTTTATAAAGTTCCCTTTATTTTTTTTCAACCCACAAAAAGGACCCCTGGTCTAGAAAATAGTCTTTGTGGAGAATGAAAGAGAAAGAAAGAAGGGAATTGAAGGAGAAAATGAAAAGCGGTCAAGGAATTTGAAGAAGGTAGGACTTGAAAGAATGTGACCGTTGGTGGGAGCATTATTTAAAATTTAAGGTTTCATTTTAAGTGAAAGGCAGATATTTGGCACTGAGTTTCATACTGGTGGTGTGAGCTTTTAAGTTCGGGGGACTAAAAGGAAATGCGCTTTTTTTAAGTTCTTTCAATTTCTTTTTTTTTTTTTTTTTGAGAATTTCAATTTCAGTTTGTATTTTGTTGTGATTTAAATGGAAGTCTTCTCTTTTTTTTTTTTTAAAGTTAAACGGAAGCCTTAAATCAAATATGAGATAAAAGAGTAATAATCCGTCGTTTAATCTTTTAACCATCGAAATTTTTTTAACGTGGTATCTAAATTTAAATTTCATGTATTAAATTATTTTAATTTTTTGATATTATTAGAATAATATTAATGTGGTATTTAAATATTAATATGAATAACACATAGCTATTTTTTTATAGTGATACGACTGTTATGTGTTATTTTGAAAGCATAAAAGAATATTTTTTAAAAGTTTTATTTTAAAAATTTTTTATTTTTATAAAATAATATTTAACAGTCATATCTCAAAATCACATGATAATTACTTGACATCCACATCAATAGTTAAATGTTATATTAATATTATTATTTTAACAATGTTAAAGGTTAGGGTAATTTAATATATAAAAATAAAATTTAAGTATAAATTTAAATTTTTTTATTTAAATATCACATTAAAAATAATATAAATAATTCAAAAACCAAATAAAGTATTATCCTTAAAAATAATTATAAATATTAAAATTTATGTATTCAATTATTCGGGTTGACAATCCAACTCATATTCATTAGGTTCTAACTCGATTTAACCTTGTAAGATTGATTTTTCTTTTTAAAATTGGATTTTTGATTAGATAAGATAACTTTGAAATAAAGTTAGGGTCAAAGTTTTTTGTATAACTGCTTTTGACCTGACCTGATATATATATATATATATATATATATATATATGATTTTATTATTATTTATTTAATTTTATATTTATTTATTTATTTTATTTTTATATTAAAATATTAATATTTTATTAATTTTAATTGTATCAAATCGATTATAAATTTAAATATATATAAATCAAATCAAATTAAAATATAAAAATATAATATTTTAATATTAAATTAAATTCAAATATTAATACTATAAAATTAGATCGATTTCGAGATAAAAAAATCTAAAACAACCGGATCCATTACCAATCTCTTGCCATCATGTGCCTTTCTCTTTCATATTCACACACCAAATGTTCCCCACCGACCATCAAAATGTATTAATTGGTCCGTCAAAGAGTTTCATAAGGACATATGCAACAAATTGACAATAGGAATATGACATTTACCTTCACTTATCAAATACAAGTCTTCGAGTTTAATTAAAACTTTACATATTCATGCCACGTGTTCAAATATTGAGATAAGTTAGTTTTCAATATATGAGATGAGAATTTTTTTTTTTTATTGTGTAATATCACATGTATAAAAAAAATCGAAAATTATCTTGACTTTTAAAATATTTCAACTCATGATATCATGCTTCTAAGTCATCCTTAAAGTTAAAGTTGGAAAAAAAAAGAATTGAAATGCAAAATCATTATGGTTTATTATGTAATATAATATCACATATACATATAAAAAAATTATAAAAAAGATATTAAATTTTTTTGTAATTTAAAAATAAAAAATTGTAGACATTAAAAATTAAAATTTATTAAATATTACTTTTTAAAATAATTATATAGTTCAAGTGTGTTAAACTTTAAAGTTTAAGAATTTTTGTCATGTAAAGTCAAACTAAAACTCATACTATCATGCTTAGAAATTATTAAAAATATTTATTCATTATTTTTAATTTATTAATAATATATAAAATTTATATTTTGATAATACATCAAATATAAATTTTTTAAAATTATATAAATTTATTTAAAATGTAATTGAATATTTTATTCAATTTTTAATCTTATTTAAATTTAAATATTTATAAATCAAAACAAACTTGTATACCAACTTTCTCTTATACTTTCAAATTTTTTAAAAATATTTTAGTCTTATTGACCGATTCAATTTCATAAATTTATCACGAAATATTGACATAACTTAAGCATAATCAAAATCAAAATCAAAATCAAAATGCAATTAATTTGAACCAATAAAATAGCTGAAAAAACAAGTGATAATCTAAAAAAATAAAGATCTCAACTTCTTGTTCCTTTAATTCCCTCAATTGCAAAAGTGTTCCCCACACGTGAGAAATCAATTTCTCGTAATCCAAGAAAAATAGTGAAGTATGATGTGAGTTATTACTTTACTTTTCATTCATTCTTATTCTTTGTTAATAAATTGATTTAATTTATTAGATTATTTTTTTCAATGAAAAATTTTAGATTTGAGTTTGTGATTATTTATTGAGATTATTTCAAATGTATTTATTAATAAGTGATTGATTTAATCTATTAGATTTATCTTTTTCGATGAAAAAATTTTAGATTTGAATATTGCCAGTGAGTATTTATTGAGATCATCTCAAATACATGACTTACAATCATTTATCTTAAATTATCAAATATAATATATCTTATCTTGATTTGAGAGATTGAATAACCTATCCATTATCAAATTTTTTCTTTAAAAAAAAATTCTTATCCTATTTATTTTGTTTAAAGTTTTTTTTATACATTATTGTATTATTTTACTAGTGACTATAAACGATATTAAAAATTTTGATAAATGTATTATTTTGTTATATTAAATTTTTATTTTTAAATATAAATTAAAAAAATATATCATTTTTTAAATCTTATTAATTAAATTTATTTCTTGACGAATGAGATAAATTATTTGTTTTATTATCTGCACAAAATTTGATAAAAATAAACAAATCCCAACCGACAGCCGACCACTTCGGTTGATACTTAGAAATTGCTAGAGTCTGATCGACTATTGTGGGTCCAACATGTTTTGACTAGGCTTTTTTATGAAACATATCCAACGGTTCCAATTAGAGGAAAACAAGATTACTCAACTACACATGATTATAGCTTAAAGCTTAAGATGTTACTTTGTTAGTAGATTACAAACATTATTACACCACTAATCTAAAGTGTGAAGTAATTAATTAATTTAAGATTAATTCCATCTTCTTTTTGCTTCTTCATCTATTAAAACTCTATTGGGTTGTGTGGTGGATGACATTTCCATCTCACGCTCTGTTTTTATAATTGGATCTTTAAATTTTTAGAAATTTAATCATAAAATAAAGTCATAATACACGATTAAAGTAAATTAACAAAGTTTTTTTGAATTGATTGTAAATATATTTATTTTTTTATTTGTACTTGTTTATTAAATTTAATAAATAAATTTAAATAATATTTTTAATCTGTTTATATTTGCAATAAATTTATTTAAAATTAATTAATTTATTATTAATTTATATTTGAATATATGATATATTATACTAAAAAGTTGTAGTCTTCATCACATTGCCAAGGCCACTACCCATAATTTTATTGGTTTTAACTTTCCAAACAAAAGCTTTTGTTGTTTTCCATTGTAAATGAGCTGTGATGATGTTGATAATGCAAGGAATAAGGTTGGAGGGGGCCTCCCTCATTGAAATGTTGGACCATTTTTTTAGGCATGTAAAATATATTCTGTTACCTGCTCCAAATCAATAATCCTATATATTTTGCTTAGTTTAGTGTGTTATCTGTTGCACTCAATCCAGAGAGAAGAGAACTGACACTAATTTGAGTACCAAATCAAAGTTTTCAATGACCCAAAATCATAACCAAGAAAATGGGTGCACTTTACCCTGTGAGAATAGTCAGAGTTATGATAATTATGTTACATGTCTGTTTCTCTGTTATTTTCTTTGAGAAACTGAAACAAGCTTAGTTTCCCAAGGTCTGTCCTTTTTCACTTTCATTACTGCGAAGTTTTTGTCCTTTTCTTCCTGGGTTCTGCTGAAAATGTAATTTTGGTTTGAATTTTGAACCATTTCTTTTTTCATATATTTGAGAAATGAAAATGACCTTCACCACACTTTTTTACCGTGTTTTATTGTTGCTGGGTGTTTGTTTCTGGTAAAAAGATGCTTTATTGAAGATTCTTATCTTGTGTCATTTGCTTTGTACTAATTTTTGTTGGCATTTGTCTTTTTCAATGTTATCCATCGTTCTCAAGGCTATCAAATGTGGGGTTTATCTTTATCATTTTCTTTTTACTGAATATATCCCACTGTTTTAATCTTCAATTTGAGGCTATCATATTTTTCTCTCTTTCTTTTGGGTTTATCTCTTTTTTAGTTTTGTAATTGAAAAAAATCTTGTTTTCTGTTATTTTTTTTCTTTTTAATGAATGAATATTTGGATAATTCAAATGCTTTGTAAATTTATTCTCTGAATTTTCCTGCACTGAATTTCATCTTGTAATACCTTTCTATGGTTTTTCTTCTCTGTAATTCTGGGTTGGATTTTTTTTTCTTCCTTTTGTCTTGTTTGTAGGTATTCGGGTGTCAATCCTGATAAGAATTTTCAATATATTTTGCAGCTGTAATGAAAAAGATAGCAGTGGACCACCAAGGATAATGAGTTATTAATGATGGAGTGAATGGTTGAGAATTTGAGGGTGACAAATGACAATTTGGTGAATGTGTTTTTTCTTTTGATTGGTTGAACATAAACCAACTTTCAAGCTTCTGTTTCGTATGAAAATATCAACATAGTTAAAACTATCATATGTTTTCATGTGATTATAGTTGCATTGTTAGTTGGAATGTCATGAAATTCTAGAGAAAAGAAACCAGTGCTTCAAGGGCTGTAGAGGGTTCTTTCTTAAAAAAAGGAAAAGGTAAATAAAGAAGAACATGGAGCCAACAAACCAGAAGTTTTTGGAGAGAGTGGTTTCACAAAAAGCGTTACAAATGGGCAGTTCATTTCCTTGTCAAATTTGTGTGGTGGGTTGTCTTTGTGGAGTTTGTCTGACATCTCTGTTTCTGGCTGCTCTTACTTCGCTTGGTAATTTTGGGTTTGGTGGGATTTCTTTTGCATCCATTTCCATGGGGATTTCTCCATGGAATTCAAGTTCAGAGATAATCAGTAAGTTAGATTACCTGCCAATTATATTCCTTCATATGTTATTATTGTTTGATTGTAGTCTGTAGTTCTAGAATTTATCTTTGTTTCTCATCTTCTGGTTCAGTGTTAATGGGGGCATTTTATAATCTTTTGTAAATAATGGAGACCATACTTGGTTGGAAGTTTGAAAATTCAGATCAAATAGTTGCAGAATTGAGTTCTTATTATTTCCAAAATGAGGTTCAGCGAATTATGAATTGCCGGTGAAGTCCGGTAGAAAATTGACAGATTGATGCATGGAATGATGAATTTGATGTAAGGTGTACTTGAAGCAACAAAAAGTTGGAATGACTTGTTGCACTCATATGTTGTTTGCTTCTTTAGTTGATGACTTTTAACTAAGTCTCTAGATAATCATAATTAGTTCATTAATTCGGTTCACTCAACATACTTAAGCTAGAAGCCAGCATCTCAACTTTTGGACTTGTGAATGACCAGTGCCAAGCCTGCAATGTTGGGAGTTTTAAGTTGTTTGTCCATGGAATTTGCTTTTGGTGGTTGTTAAAATCACTGACAATGATGGACTTGAAATAGATTTGTGTATGAGAATTTCTTGATTGTGAACAATAAATGTTTCTTTTAACGTAGTTCATTTTCCTTGATTGAAATGTAGATGTTGTTGCAAGTTCAGACTGCAAATTTAAACTGAAAGAAACGGAGAGATGGGTGGACTCACGGCAAAGGGAAACACAGAGCGATGATGAGAGAGTTTCTTTGCTGACTGAAGCTTGGGGTGCTTTACTAGCTGAGAGGGAACCTGAAGAAAGCGAGTTCTTGCAAAGATTTGGACTCAGTAAATCCAGTGTACCAAATGCCCCTCATTTGGAGAACTGCAAATCAAGTGTGCAAGTGAATAAGCGTCTTGACACGCGCACTAGAGATGGCAGATTTCCTCCCTGGACAACTTGGAAGGGTTCATTAGACATGTATCCTGCAACTGCAGCTGATGAGAATAATAGAAGCTTTAAGCGTTACGCCGTATCTGATGGTGCTTATCCTCCATGGGTGCGTTCCTAAATCCTAAGCTACATTTAAGTTAACCTGTTTGTGTTATAAAGGCTATTCAAAGCATGATATTGATGTTGGATGAGTACTAAAAATTTTCAGTGTCACATTTCTTGCCTAGAATTAAGAAATTATGTACCTGTTCTGTAAAATAATATGTTTTTCTGCTTCTGAATCATTTTTGAAAATCAAGATCTTTTTCAGATTGAGGGATCCGATGAAGAAAACTATCCTCTTACCAGGAAAGTGCAGTGTGACATTTGGATCCATCAGCATCCAATAAACTGCCGTGATCCTAACTTAAAATTTCTAGTGGCTGACTGGGAAAAATTGCCTGGCTTTGGCATTGGAGCCCAGATTGCTGGAATGGCTGGGCTTCTTGCTATTGCAATCAATGAGAAAAGGGTCCTTGTTACCAGATACTACAATCGTGCTGACCATGATGGTTGTAAAGGTATAAATCTGCAACAACTTATTGCTCGATATGCTACATTTTATGGGAAATAAATGTCTGGGAACTGGAAGAATTACGTTACCATTAGTATTCCCATGGTGTTTGTATTTTAGCATCGCGCAATAGTTGGTCGTGCTACTTCTTCCTAGAGACATCCCAGGAATGCCAAGACCATGCATTCGAGCTTATGCTCAGCAAAGAGGCATGGGAAAAGGGGATTATAAAAGGAAAAGACAATTACAACTCAAAGGAAATATGGGCAGGGAAGATTTCAAGGTAAGCAAAATGCAATTTGCAGGAATGAGTTTGTACCGACTTGGAAAACATTAGTGTATCTTAAGTCAGTGATTTCGCTATTTGATGCAGGGTATGGGGTGATCCTTGGAGTTATTTGCAGCCTACAACAGAGATAAACGGGAGTTTAATTGCTTTTCACCATAAAATGGACCGAAGGTGGTGGAGAGCGCAGGTACAACTTAAGATTGTTTACATATTTAGCTGGTCACTGTTGATTTACATTCCAACGCGAAGTCATGTATATATAAATAGAAACACACAGGCATATGCGTTATTTCTAATGAGAATGCCATGCTATAAGGACTATCAGATGGTTGTTCTTTGACTAATTAGAATACAATTTATTATGTACAGGCTGTTCGCTATCTAATGAGATTTCAAACAGAGTACACTTGTGGCTTATTGAACATAGCTCGCCATGCTGCATTTGGGAAGGAAGCTGCAAAAATGGTTCTTGCAAGTATTGACAGAGAGTGGCCAAAGGTTTGTTCATCTAAGATTGAGTCTTTTGTTATTTGACTTCTACCTATGTAATTGACACTGAGTTTAGAATCTTCAGACCTCAATGTTGCTGCTATTTGTCGTCTGTCCATTCACGCCTGCGTGCCTAATGGACATGTGGGAATGCATGTTCATATTTAATGGAAGCTGCAATATTGAGATCATGCATGCTAAACTCATTCTCATTTTAAACTTCAATTGAGACTATTACTCATGAGAGCTTTTATAACAGGTGATTATCAACAAGCCAAAGTCAGATATTGAAGAATTTGTGTGGTCAAATCACAAACCTTGGGTCCCTAGGCCTTTACTAAGTATGCATGTAAGAATGGGAGACAAGGCATGTGAAATGAAAGTCGTCGAATTTGAAAAATACATGGATCTTGCTGACCGTATTCGAAAGCGCTTTCCGTATCTCAACAACATTTGGCTCTCCACTGAAATGCAGGTTAGCATTTTGACATTTTTACTTGCAGAATTAATGAATGAATGAATGTTTTGCTGTCATTCATCTATCTGATATCATGAATGGCCTAACTAAATTTCAGGAAGTGATCGATAGAACAAAATCGTACCCTCATTGGAACTTCTATTACACAAATGTGACACGTCAAGTAGGAAACATAACGATGGCTACGTACGAGGCAAGTCTTGGAAGGAAAACCAGCTCGAACTATCCTCTTGTAAATTTCTTGATGGCAGTGGAATCAGACTTTTTTATTGGTGCATTGGGATCCACATGGTGCTTTCTAATAGATGGCATGAGGAACACCGGAGGAAAAGTAATGGCCGGATACTTAAGCGTCAACAAAGATAGGTTCTGGTAGTGAAATCTGAGATCCCTAGATTGGATAGGCATGTAGATTAGATCAATCTACAGCAATTTATTTTGTTTGTATAAACTTTTTTAAAGTAATTTTGCGCCTTTTTGTACAAATCCAAATGCAAACCAAGTTTACTAATAAAACATGTAGATATAGTTGCTATAATTTCCAGTAAAATTTTGCTATTAAGTTCCAGGCCTGGGTCTTTTAAACTAGAACTATTCTCTTCTACTTCCCATGATTTCGCTTAAAAATGTTTCTTTTTCGTTTATTAAACTTAATAAATAATTATAAGTAAAATTTTTAAATTCAGTTAAATTCATTTATGTTTAATTCGTTTTTACTCCTATCAATGCAACAACGAGGTTAAAAGCGACTACCACCAAAACCAGAAAAGTGACAGACTTTAACTTACCCCAGCTTCAAACGAGTAATATTCAAGTTTCTAGCTTTCTGCCATGTCCATTTCCACCAGCTACCCGAAGCCATCACCCATTATTATCTTCTTTTTTTTTTTAATTGAAGTTTCATTGGCTTTTGCCTAAACGACAGATAGGGCAAAAGAGCAAGAAAAAAAAAAGAGTTATGAAGAACTAACAATGACAGGAAAAAGAATACCAATCACAAAAATGAAACTTTGATGACCGTGGATTTAGATACAAAGATTTTGATGTCCAAGAAAAACTAGAATCGATACAAGATATCAGAGAAACAAGGAGATTGTCCCTCTCCAATTTCACATCACATAACAATACAACAACAGAAGAAGACAAGGCTCTTCTTAATCAAAGTGATTCACCTACCAATCATTCTGCAAATCAACGAGCCCTATGTAGCGAAGTGCAATTAGAAAAATGTAAAGTGGGTAGAGGGAGGAGCCCTACCTCCTCTTTCTCTGGCAGATGCCACTGAAGGTGTAAAATAACTGGGACCACGTAATTATTCTTCTACCTCTTCATTTATCTGTTGGCCTCCATCCCCACCTTTGGCTGCTGCCTGCCGTTTGTGTTTCTTGCTTTTGGCTTTCTTGGCTTTCATACGGCGTTTTTTCTCGTTGGCATCTACCCAGGTATAGTCAGATGGTATGTGGAAAGGATCAACCTCATCCTTGTAGCGATGACTATCACTATCATTTGACTGGCCACCACGACTCCCTCTCATCCATGAAATCCATGATGTTGAACCCTCTGATTCCTTTGACTTGGCGTCCTGGAAATGAGCTGGGCTGGAAAGAGGTGTTGAGAACTCCTCCATGGGCTGAAGCTCCTCAAATTTTGTGAAAGTTACAAGGACTCGAATAGTTGGGACAATAGGGATGGCAACCTGGAATAGGGAATGAGACATCAATGTGAATTCATTCAAAACTTCAATATGAGAACATAAGAAAGATATTTTACAGAAACCAGCCAGATAACAATTGTCGAGAAAGCATGTTAGTAGCCAACCAAAAAAAAGCCTTTTCCTTTTTCTACTGCACTTGCACAAAAATTTCCACAGACAAAAATTTAAAATGAAGATATTATACCATTAGGACCACTTTCAAAGTTAATTATAATTGAAGAGCATTAAAAAGAAAGACAATAGAAACTGCCAAGAAGAGATTGGGAAGTATTTTGCTGCCTCACCATAATGCACGAAGCATGTGGCTGATTGTCAAAAAGGTTCATGTCAGTTACATATTCTACCGTAGAAGTTGGGCAGATTCCAACAATATGGCAAACCTAAATATGGATTTCAAAAGTGGTTTCTTCAGAACATTATGGTTCCAACATAACTTAAACATCCAAATATTAAAAAATTATGCACCTCCACATTCAAGGATAATTTATAGTTTCAAGCATCAAGTCATTTTAAATATTAAATGCTGAGACACTCTCTTGACACCTATCTTAGATCCAAGCTTCACCTAGTGACTTAAGCTAGGGTCCTAAAGCATAAGCACTAATGCATTACGATAGTTGCATGAATATTGTAGATCCAACAGAGAGAAAGATGGTTACAAAGAAAATTCCCCTCAAATAAATTTTAATTTCTTCACCACCCATGTACAAAAACCATCTCAGCCTTCTATATCATAAACACCAACAACACAGATTCAGGTGGGCAATGGCCAAACCACTACAAAGATTTTCAACCAGAAACAATATAGTAAACCATTAGTAAGATAAGAATGACATCTGATATGTATGTTCCTAACGTTTTTCATTAGCATTGCATGGTATGATTCTCAAATAACAATAAGCTCACAATCTAATGCACATTTGTATCTCAATTCACCAGTTAACATAAAACAACCCCGCACTTCTGCACTTATTCAAGTTACTTTCCAATCATCTTTAAATAATATAATTGGATTTAAAACACCACAGGAGCACCAACCAAGGATACCACTAATAGACTCAGTTCCTAAGTTAGCATAAATGTGAAGAAAATGAGCCAATTATGTCACAGTAGACACACAAGTAAAACAAGGCCAGCAAAGTGTTCGTAATTGCAATAAGAGTATTTGCTCTAACCCAGGATAATTTTTCATGCCTAAAGATATTGATTCCTTTTTATTTTAAGACAAGACTACCACTCTTAGTCAACTACGAAATCTCAATTCTACTTCAGGATTTCTTATCATCACTTCTACTGTTCAAACCACAAAAAGAATAAGTAAATAAAATAGCAAAAATTGAATTGAGATTAAAAACAAAACATAAATTATGCATACAATTAAAAACTAAACTGGATTTTTACCATAAAATCATTTAATTGTTTGAGTTATTGAGTATATATATATATATATATATATCTTAAATTACCTTGACTGGAAATGTGCCCAAAGGCAGTTTAGTTGTCAGAAGCTCCCTTAGTCTCCTTATAGCCTTGACCTTGTTAGCTAATATGTCAAGTAAAGGCAGGAGCTCCTCAGTCTTTAAAGGGAAATCTGGCGTTAACCATAAAACAGGTCTCAAACCCTTCTTATACTCACTCTCATATTTAGCATCACTAATGCCCCCTTTCTTCTTCTTCTTCTTGCTGCCTTTATCTTTACCCTTCTTGCCATCCACAGCATCTTCCCTTGTAAATTCAGAAGATGATTTGTGACTATCAACTTGCCGATTGCTACCTTCAGGGGCCAATTTTGAGAACTTCTTCAAAATCTTTGAATCCTCAGGATCATCACCATTCTTTGAGCCTTTCTTATTCCAGCCAAACCAGCTCTTCTTCTCCTTAGCAACACCATTTGATTCACAATTTTCATAGGAACCTCCTGAACCATTTTCTTGACAGTCAATAAACCCATGCTCATCATCATCACAAAAACCATCTGAATTTCCCATACAAAGTGCTGAATCTAACTGCATCCTTTCCTCAGCTGTCAATACATCATCGTACTCGTCATTTTCACCACCATTTGCCATCCTTTCTTCATCATCCACAGAAAAAAGCTCTTCATCAGTCATTGCACCAGGAACCCTCCTTGACTTCACACTGACTGTCACGTGAAGCATATCATAAACTTTAGCCTTCCAGTTTCCAACCATCTCACTTCTCTCTTGTCGCCTCCAATTCAAATAAGGAACAAGCTCAGCCTGAGTGACATCAATACCAGGCCTATACATATTAGTTTGAGACATTAATGCTACTTCATGAGTAACTTCTGATTCTGTTGGTTGTGCACCAGCCCCCTCAAGAGCATTTGTAACTTCTTTTTCCTTATGAGAAAGAGCAATCAAAGAGCCTGGAGGAAGAGAAAGATTCCCATCCTCCGAAGTGTAGCCTTCACCTAGAAAGAGAAATGTTTGGTCTGATCTTTGAATACGGAACCCATCAAATCCAGCAAGTGTCATATCAGCACGGAGATTTGAACCCCGCTTCCAAATGCGGTAAGTGTCTGATGGTGCAATGCGACCAATAAATGGAATGACTGAACTTTCAAAATGAAAAGTTATCTCCATGTAAAAGTCACGGATGCGAGCTGCTGAGGCAACAATCCTAGGAAGTCTACGAGACCATTTTGCCCAGGCAAGTGGCTGGTAGTGTCGTGCAATGATAATAGCAATTGCCTCTTCCCTTGTGCATACTGCTTCTTGCAAAGCACTCCAACCATGCTCATTCTGAAGACTCCAATCTGCTCCAGCTGCCATCAAAATCTCTGCCGAGATTGGATCTCGCAACCGCACTGCTAAATGCAGTGGAGTCTCCCTACCTGGGACATCACGACGATCTATGACAGCTGAGATAGTGTCAGCATGGAGCTCAGCCTCAACAGATTCTTCTTCAGTATTAACCTCACCAGCCTTGGCAAGCCGAGGAAGCGTCGAGATAATGCGCCTAAGCCCAGCATAGTCACGGCGGGCAACGGCTAAATGGGCAGGACTATGGGCATACTTGGAAAGATCCTCCATTATACTTAACTCTCTTTGATTTCTATCCTAAGCTATGATTTCCCCCATCCCCAATACCTCTAACATTAAAAACATAAAAATTAACAAAAATCCCCTTCCACCTTTATCTCAAATTCTCCAAAATAATATCTTTGAAGATAAAAGATTCTATTTTCTAAGGTTCCACAATTACCAAGATTAGGGCTTTTAGGCTTTGCTATCCACCTCCAATACTAACTATAGTAAAATTCAATTGAAACTACTAAAAAATTCAGCAATGCTATAATTTCTTCACAATTGCCCAAATGCCTTCCATTTTTTATCCTCAGTTCCATTTACAGTGAAGTTAAAGCTTCCACAGACGTTTTATCTGTAAATGTAACCCAAAAAGATGAGCTCCAACAAGTAAAATTTTCATATTACCATGAAAAAGTTTGCCTTTTTTTAAAATAATAAAATAGTATTAAATTTACAAAAAGAAATCCAAAAATAAACATTTTCACTATTTTAAATTAAATTTCACATTTTTTCCAAAATAACATAAAAAAATATTCATTTATTTTCCTTCTCCATTTATTTTCGTTCATTTTCTAAGCAACCAACAAAAAATCAGCACAATTAAAAAGTGTGAAAGAAAAAAAAAAGAAAGACAAACCTAAGAAAGTAGATGCAGCATCCAAATACAGAAAGATCCGCAACCTGACCCGACCGATTAGGTTTTTCTTTCCCTTTCAATTTGGCTTCAAAAAAGGTTGAAATTTTAAAGAGAGAGAGACAGAGAGGGGTTAAATCGGACGGTTAACGTCAATTTCAAGATACAGGATCCGACCAGGTCACGATCTTAATATTTGAAACAGTGACTCGCCTCCACACCACGAGTCCACTCAGTCTTCTTCCACACTCGTTGCTTAACTCAGATCTCTCTCTCTCTCTCTCAGGAAAATCTTTTTTTTTTTTTTTCAAAGTGAAGTCTCTCTCTCTAAAAAATGTACCAATTTTGATTTTCTATCTATCCGTCTCTGCATATTTTTCAGGTCGCGTCTCTTCGCTTTTTTGCTGTTTCTTTCTCCCTTGCCGTTTTGAAACGTTAAATGCCCCTCGTTTGGGGTAAAATTACCATTTCTGCCACTCACAGCAGTTATTTTGGCCGGGACAAATTCACAAAACTTGAAATATATTAATTAAAAAAAAATAAGATAAAAAATGATAATTTTTAATTAAATAAAAAATAAAATAGAAGCAATTACTTATTTAATATGATGATTTTTAACATTTTAAATTAATATATTTCCTTAAATAATTACTTTAAAGTTTAATCGATAGCTTTAATTAACTCATTAAAAAAAAAGTTGCTTAAAATTGCCCTAGCTTTTGAGAACATTTACATGGATTGCCATTTCAGTTGTGGCTATGTTTTTCCCTTGAGGCTTGAAGTTTAGTTCGAAGATCCCATGGCTGCTACTGCTGACCCAGAATTCAGTAATTTTTATATGTTTTTTTGTTCATAACAAAGGATCGAAAATTACATTGAAGCAACATAACAAAGCGTTAAGATAAAATAATATTATAAATTAAATTAAATAATATTATTTTATATTATATTTAATATGTGTAAAAATTATGATAAGATAATTTGTTTATTAATTAAAATTATTATTTTTAAAAATTTATATAATTTAAATTATTAATAAAAATTTTTAAAAATATAATAAGATATTTAAGTTTAATTTTATAAATTAAAAATAATATTTTTTACTTTAAGAAGATTGAATTATATTATATCAAAAAAATAATTAATTTTTTTTATAATCTTATTTTTTAAAATATAAATTAAATATAATATAAAATATTTATTATTTTATTTTATTTATTATCTCATGCACAAATATGATTTTAACTATTTTGATTTAAATTTATTTTTTTAATATTTGAGTTTAAATTTATTAAAAAGTTATCCTTGTTAAATTTAAAATAAACAAATCTATTTAAATTGATCCGAAAACGAGATATACATAACAAAATAAAAAATTCTTTACCGTAAAGATAAAAAAAAGGGAAAAAAAAAAAGAAGGGAGAATCCACCAAATGAAGAGGAGAAAGGGCAATCTTAGTTTGGATAGCAACCCAGTTTGGCACCTCACCGGTATTCCTGGAAACAATCAACAATAGCTTTGATTTAGGTGGCTACAGCTTTAAGCAGCTTGGAATAGCGAGATGGCAGGCCAGTCTAATAGCAACAGCTTGGATTGAACCGGCAAAACAACACAATTTTTTTATAAAAGAAATGTCATCTAATTATTAAATAAATTGAATTAAATTTTATGTTAATAAAATCAACTTATATCGAATCAATCCACAACACGACCCATGGAGTGTCTAAAAACAGCAGCACGTGGTTTTGCAGAGATGATAGACTAATATGTTTTGGATAAATTTTCATTCGATTTAATTTTACAAGATTAATTTTTATTTTTTAATTGAATTTTAAATCAGATCATATAATAATAATAATAATAAATTGAGATAGGATCGAACTTTAAGTAAATTCATCTTAATTTAATCTAATATATAAAAATATTTTTTAAATTATTTATTTATATTTATATTTATTTATTTAATTTTATATTTTTATTTAAAATAATATTTTATTAATTTCAAATCAAAACAAATTAAATATGATTTTATATAATATCAAATCAAATTTAATTATAAAAAATAAAAAAATTTATTTAATTAAATTTAAATATTATAAATTTAAAATCAAATCGAATTTGAAACAAATAAAACCTGCTTCAATCTATTACCATTCCCATTTGCAGGCAATTGGAAGCGGAAAAATATGCCAAATCAAAATATGGTTTTGTCTATCACCTTTTCAACTAATGGTCAAGAAACTTTAAAAAAATTACGTGAGGTGGACTCAAATTTCATCTTTTTTTTTTATTATTTTTATAGGAATTTTGTCCTCCTATAACTAAAAAAAAAAAAAAATTCAAAGTATGGTTTTTTTCATAAAGGTGTCTCTTGTCTTGGCCCAATCCTAGGACATAATCAAATGATGAATATATATAATAATAATTATGCCTGTTTTATTCTTTGTGGAAGTTAGTGTTAGAACAAAATTCCATATAAATTAGTAAAACTAATTATTTTATACTTACAATTTTACAAATAATTAAAACATTACTATAAGGCATTAAGCCACACTGAAGAACAAATACATTATCTTACCAATGAGCAGAGGCTTAATGGCATCCAAAAGGAATTAAAAATATAAGCCAAATTTTAACACTATCTCAATTTAAAATAAATTTTATTCACTTCTACATTTTTTTTTTTAAATTTCAACTTGAATGATGACATAAAAAATATACAATCCTAACCAGAAATGATTATTCATCATGATTTGGTTAATTCATTAATGCAAACAATAAAATAATCTAAAACCTGATATCACCTAAATCAAAGTACTCCATGTAACTTAGACTTATTGCAAAAGTCAGAACCAAAAAGTTTTTTTTTTTTTTTTGAAGGATTGAATCATCAAATGTTAGCACTAGAACAGATGCTTCAAGCTTGATCCAAGACTGTCATTATGTTCATTAAACAATGGGAAAAATTATGAAAGAACATGTTACACCCCTTTTCTAACATATTTGAATACTATACTTGTAACCAACCAATTAGTTATTAGCACATGTGATATTGGATTAGGTAATTGAAAGTAATGTTCTATCCTTTCATAAATCTTAATTCGTGGTTTTAAATTTTTAATTCGAGATTTTCAAGATGAAATCTTAAATTTTAATGTTGAATTGTTTTTTGAACAACTAGTTACATTACATGAATGCTAATAAAATATGTTAGAAATAAGATGCTGATCAGATCAAATATTAATAAAGATGAACAAGGAAAAGAGGCAAATTCATGAACCAAAAAGCCATGTTTCTCTTTACTTAAACTATAGTATTTGATTAGGGTTTTTTTTTTTTTTTTTAGATGTGGATCAAAGAGGTTGAGGACCATATGATTTCAATCCTAGTGAGCTTTGAGCTCAAAATGTTGGGTATTGTCCATCTTTTTGCTTCTCAACTACTACAATTTTTTTTTCTTTTGTGGGATGCTTTCTATTGCTTAGCACTCACATGCATTGCCCTTGAAACTGTATTTGGTCCCCCTTTCCCATGTGAGTTGTGATTTCTCACAAAAAATCACAAAAACCTTTTACAATTTTATTCCATTTATTTCTTTATTTTTCTTAAGGGTGAAATCATCACCTTTACTTTGGCCATGGAAACAACTGAAAACCTTGGCACTTTCACTTTCTTTTCCCAAAGACAGGGCTTGGTTCAAAAATCTAACCCAAACCTCTGCCTCTGCTCCAAGGTCACTTTCACAATTTTATGGCTAAGGCTGATGAAACCAATAGTCTCTTATATGGATACATTGGCAACTGTCACCATTGATTATGAAAATGAAGGTGATATGATGACAACTGAGCTTGTAATTTGAGAAAAACCAAACCATAATCTGTCCAGTTGGTGACAACTCCTAAATTTCTTTGAATTATTGGGATAAAGTTATACTGTATATATTTGTTAGTTTCTGTCATCTTGGGAGGCTATGCTTTACATGATCATAAAAACAGAGGAAAAGGAAGGAAAAAAAAATTAAAAAGGCTAAGTGAAGTTACCATAAATAGTTTAGACACTAATAAATTGTGCATTTTGTGTAATATTTTGATAGACATGTTTATATGAATATATATATATATATATATGTATATTTATATATACATATGCCTTTGCAAAGGAGATGAAAAGTGAAGAACAAGGTGATAATAAAGTCATAGACAGAACTCCAATCTTGACCAGGTACTTTTCCTGCCAAGAACTATGGGACAGAAAAAAAATAAGAAGCAAATTGCTGGTCACATGTCCTTTTGCTTTGGACCTTAGAAAGCTTACTCATAACTATCAAAACTATAGGAGTCTCCTCAAAACAAATTAGAAGATGTGACCCTGGCTTAGAGTTTTCTCAAATATGAACATTGAACTTAGTCAAGGTTTTAATAATGATGGATTGGATGTTTTGCGGTCAAATTAGTACTATGTTGTGGTGACAAAACCTTACTCTTTATCATTTGAATCATTTTGTTGATTTTAATGATTCAACAAAGGTGAGGGATGAAACTAATGAAATGAAGACATATCACATACAGATTGTTTGTCCCATTTTAGAAAATCATTTTAAGTATTCTTATTAGTCATTTTCATTCATATATCTCTTACTTTCCTATGTTAGATGTACAATTTGTGCCCGCATATAGAATTATGTGGTTAAGATAGATTTATAGAAATGTTTTATATGTTTTATTGAAAAAAAAAAAAAGAAATGATTAATATGTAATTCATTGCTTACTGCTATCATATATGTTATTTTGAGGCAAAGCAAATGCACCACTATTGTAAGTTTTGAGTTTATAATCAGGTTTGTTGCAACGGCATTTGTTTGTCAATGCTTGACCTTAGGCATTTTCACACTATAATGATAAATAAATAAATAAATAAAGCCAACAACAGTTGATAAAGTATAAAACTTTTAATTTCACCAACAAGTGATTGATTCAATCGGTTAAGATCATCTTTTTTGCCAAAAAAATCTTAGATTCAAGTCTTACCGGTGATCATTTATTGAAATCATCTTAAATACACTACTTGCCCAGATTTTCTTACAAAAAAAAAAGTGCTTCTAGTAGGATATCAAAATGAATAGTATTTTCCTAAAACCCTAGTAAACCCTTTGGTATCCTAGTAATTCTCAATCAGAATATATTCAGCAATTCTGCCAGAATTTAGGAAACAGCCTTTGATCCAAGCATAATTGACTTGAACATGAAATTCTCAATCAGAATATACTGATAATCCATGCAATTTACATTTAAATCGACTTTTAACATTCTTTAGATTGCTTGCAAGTAAATTACTAGTCATTTGTATCTTTTAATGTCACAAATCGATTGTCATCAAATCTTATATATAAACTGACCAAAAGAATTACCCCTTCAAGAGCAAAGCACACTGGGGTGACTGTTTCGGGGTTGCTTTGGAACTTTCAGAAAGGAATTTATTTGTTAACAAATCCATCCCTTGGAGTAAAACATGAAGCCCTGTGAAGTAGAGGGTCAAGATTTCCGAGCAAACAGCTCACAGGTGATTATATCTTCTGTGCGTGCAGCAGATCTTCCAGCACCTAGGACAGGAACAAGATTGAAGATAGGCTTCCCGCCAACTTTAGCACTGCCACTCATCTGATCAAGTTCCTTGAATGCGTCTGTGAACATGCATGATAATGTCTCCAAAGGCACATGAAGGTTTGGTGGGAAGTAGAGTCTCAAACTCTAGAAAAATGGGGAAAATGAAGTGAGGAACGATAATGAAAACAGGAAGGCATTTTCCTAACCAAAGATCAACAGGATATAACTCTATTTAGAATCAATGTTAATAGGGAAATGAGGCACTTGCCTAAGAAACTTACCATAGTGTCTTTCCAACAGAAATCATTTTCAATAACAATTTTGTCGAGAAGATAGATGCAAAATCTAGATATTCTTTTCATTTGGTCCTGTGTGAGAGAATTCTGACAATTCCCATTGCTCCAATCAGCATTCATAGAATCAGAACAAATTTTGAGGGCAACTGCACTTGTGATAGACAAAACCACTGCACATATCTTTCCATGAATGACACATTTCTGAATACATGAATCATGCCAATCTGCAGGTTGAAAACCATAATAACTAGGTGCCCTTATGCCAGAAAGGCCATGCAAAGTTTCTTCTGTTGTTTCTGTGGTCTCTGGGACATAAAGCATAGGCTTTACTTCTACAAATGCTCTGCAATACCAAAAATAAAAGGTGATGGAATGCCCAGCTGTTGGATCCAAAGCATACCATTACGTATTCAACTAGTCATCCAGTAAACAATTCTAGTGACTCAGCTTCCAGGAAAAAAGAAAAACAAACACAGAACTTGAAGGTGAAAACTTCCTTTTACATGTCAGTTCATCAGCATCCTTATTATTCATTGAAAAGTTAACAGAAGTGTCGACCATTTACCTTTTCGGCAGATCTGGAACTAGAACATAAAGAAAAATAGGATCAAGCACTTCAGCTTTCCTCCCTTTATCCAAAAGAGATAGCTTAATTTGTTTCAAAAACGTATCCAGCTTGTCGTGGATTTTGGGTCTCTCATCTGAAGGAATATTTGTCGAGCAGTAAACCACAAAGAGAATAGCAGAAGTAGTTATTGAGCAGTTAAAGCATTTTGCTATTGCCTCACTGTTAAGCAGTGCCTGTTCAAGTTCTGCGGTTGGGCCTCCACCACAAAGAGTCATTGTAGGTGGATCGAGTCCCAACTGACCAGCCATGTGGAGTATCTCCTGATGCAAAGTTGCCTAAAAGTAAAACTGATCAAGTTAAAAGTATACTAGACCGCACAATGATAGAAACAATGCTGCATTCTTAGAAATATCAGGTTTAAGCACAAAAGAAACCTGTCATTTTTACATTTATGCATCAGGTCTCTATAATATATGATTCCTGAGTGGTTCCCATTTCAATCCCTTATCATCAAGAAAATGACTACTGTGCTTACTCTCCCTCCCACCACGCCCCACCCCAACATCACCCCCCCCCCCAAAAAAAAAAAAACCCACTGTTAAAAGGAATAAAAGTGTCGTAATACTCCAAATTATTTCAATATTACTTTGAAAAATATAAAGTAGAAAAATGTTACAAAAAGGGACCTTTACATGCCATGTAAATCCCATCATTCAGTGTACCTGGCTATATGGTCCAATGCAACTTGGTGCCCAGCTTGAAATACTTTGAACATGCAAAACTCTTTTGCTCTGATCATTGGCCACTAGTACTTCAATATATGCTCCCCCTAAACCTGCTTGAATTAAAGGCAGTTCAATAGTACTTCGTGATGGAACACCGAGAGGGCATTTGTCCTGGGTAATAAATCTCACATACGTCTCATTTGCCATAGTGAACTGATTCATATCAGATATATACAGATGGATATACAGCACATGCTCCCAACCAAAACCACATCCTAGAAGTTGCAACTCAATTTGCCTAAGGATCAGCTTCAAATCTTGCTGCAAACCTATCAACCAAAAATAATGGAAAATAGTTATTAATTGTAATGGTGTATTTGGAAATGATGGCTAAATAGAAAGGAAGAAGATGTTGCATGGGATTGTAACTGCAAGCCTGCAAAGAGTCATTTTTTACCTACTGAAGGTTCTGATGGATCTTGCAACCAGCAACAAATAGAAAAAGTATTATCTTTATCTGTTTTAGAGAGGTGAAACCTATTACTTGAAACTTCAACCAAGTCACTAACTTCAGGAACAGACTCGCATGGAGCTTTGCATTCTTGCAGGTTTTCACCTTGCACTTCAAATACAGAACTGATATTCTTCCTACATAGATCATTGGTTTTGTCATTATCACTTAATGAGTTGGTCGCCTTTCTTTCCAAATGGAATTTCAATGGATGCAGCACTCCAACTGGAGCAATGGAGTCTGAAGAGTGCAGTACAACTTGGAATTCGTCAAGCACCATTCTAGCATTCTGAAAAAATTCTATATATTAATAGTTATGACGAATAATCAATGAGCAAAGAATTGTTAAATACACTAGGCTGCAAACCCACTTTTTTCATTACATTAATATTGGTTATATCCTTGGAAAGAAAAAAAGAAGCCACTAAAATGAATGAAAGAAAGAAATAAAGGGGAGAGGGGTGAAGATGGTAAGGCAAATATTTTCACCAGTAGACTAGTCAACAAATAACCTTACATGGAAGAGCGGGCAGTCAAGAGTCAAAGTTTCATACTCCCCTCCCTCACCACATATATTGATTCCATACAAGCTACCAAAGGGGATAAAAAAAGAAAAATCTAAGTTAGCAGCCACTCTTCAAATATTAAAAGGTATATAATGCAAACAAGAGAGGGAGAGAGGGAGAGAGAGTTAAAAGAAAAGCACTAACATACTCTTTCAATTTATGCAGATAAGGTTCCAAGAATGCTATTTCTTTGCCCAAATGCTTTGCAGGGTCCAATCCCATGGCTGCAACCTATGACATAATATGTCAATATTGAACACAAAATACTTCAATTACAATATATACAATGAAGCATCTGATAAGAGAAACAACAAGAAAATAAATCTATATAGAACATGCAGAAAGACATCACATGAGTTCAGAAGAAATATAATAAAAATGATAACAAAGAATTAATTAAAGATACTACATACCTTGACTGTGATAGCCACAATGTCATTTGTTATCTGAATATGACAAAAAAGTTGATAACATGTTAGACAAAGTATCTGAATTCTGATTACCTTTTATTCATATTAACAAAATGCAAATTACCATTTCATGGAGAAGCAATGATTGATCTTGTTTCCACAAATATGCCAGAGAAACAAGCCCTAACCTTGAACAGACACTTTCCACCCGTAACCTTTGATAATCTGATGCAATTGCACCAGAAGATACGGCTGTGACAGAAGGTATCTGTTTCTTAACTTCATTTAACAAAACAAACATATCTTCAACTTCATCACCCGGAGTCATTTGGTAGCTAAGTTTCTGATGCCTACAATGGTCACCAAAACCATCCGAAATAAGAATCTGCAAAATGTACATTTGCCAACTAGAAAGGGCAGACGCTCATCTAGAAGTAAAATAATCTGAGAAGCAGCCTATCTTGAACTCATTTTTATCATATATATAGAAAATTTCTTCATGATATGCCCTTCCCCTACTTACAAATGGATTGAGAAACAACTTTTCTATGTGGTTTCCCTGACTGTTAATGTAGTGAAGCAGAAATATATCATTAGCCTTGTAGCATCCTACTTAGTACAGTCGGGAAACTATATGACATGTGCAAGCAAAGAGATACATAGAGAAGTCTGCAGAGTTCTTAAGTAATAAGTAATAACAAATGCTTAAAAGCTCAATATCAATAGCATTATATTTTCATAATTGTGATACAAAGGGAGGTCTGTAAGTCCCCGAAATATGAAAAATAGTGTTTTAAAACAATATTCTCATTTAAAGGGCTTGCCTTGTGGATCCTTGTATTCGCCTTCTGAACAATGGAACTCCCATGCATTCTGCATAACTTACAATTATTTGGTGCCCCACCTGCAGAAAAAAAGGCATTCAGTATTTATGTCGAGTTCATGTAAAGATGCATATTCTTAGTTTCTAAAACACTTAAAACAATTTTTTTTTTTTACTTCAAAAAAAAAAGGTAACATACATTAATATATACCTAAATAAAAAAAGACAATGATTCAGGTAATCAGTAGAGACTTACAGTTTGATACATGTAGCTGTCTAACTCATCCACTGAATCATCAGCGGGTAATAAATTAGCCAGAGCAATAATCTAAACAAAAACACCAATAACAAAAATGTCAACTTTTTTGTAAATTCAATATAAAAGGACATCTATTAGCACTTATTTCGAGTACCCTTTTCTTGTAAGACACTAAAATTCCCAAAATGTTCTGAGTTTTTCCAAAGTATATCAAAAATTGTTGTTTTAAAAAAATTTAAAAAAAAGAAAAGAAAAAAACCTGGTGGCCGTGTTGGATGCATTTCATCATAGCATAACAGCTATCTTTGCCGCCGCTGACTAAAGCCACCACCTTCATTATCTCAGGTGTTGAATCAGATAGCAGAAAAGCAAATTTTTTTTTTTTTCAGAGGTGGGATTTTGGGGGCTTAGAGAAGAGCTTAGGGTTTAGCACTATTTTCGGTCTTTGTAAGTTGCAATAGTCAAAACCAGTTAAACACTTTGTGTCTCTCACTCCCTTGGTTTGTACCGACAGGGCAATTGACACTTTCACCGTCCTTTTTTTCCTATTGTTGAATTGAAATTCTTTGTTTGCACTGAACTATGGTATAATTTTATATCATCGTCTTCGGTTTCTTGATTTAATGATCAAAAAAGCGTAAGAAAACACCAAAAATTAGGGTTTGATCTTAGCTTTTTTTTTTTATTGTAAGATTCTGCTCCTTTTAACAAACAAAAAAAAATTTATATCATCAAAAGTTCATATATAAACTATTCTTAATATAAACACAATCCTTTGCCATTATTTTACTATACACTTCTTTAATGTAATAAAAAAAATTAAATGTTAAATTTAGGCATAAATATTATAAATATTTTATAACTGTTTGGGTTTTTTTTTTTTTTTTTTTCTTAGTGGTGCTACTTGCATCTTAAGTTATTCTCTTTACACTCCACTCATTAATACTTATTAGGGAGTTTTAAATGTATTCTCTTTTTTACTTATACAGTCTGTTTTTTTTAAAAAAAATTATAAATAAAATTATTTAAATATTTTTTATGAGTTTTTAGATATTTATTATTTTCAAGAAGTCATAGCAATGAATTTTTGAGAATTTATAATACTTTTCAAAAATGTATTTTCAAAAAATTATAAAATTTTTTAAAAATACATTTTAAAAAATCTATAACACTTTACTTCTCGAAAATGAATTTGGAAAAATGAAATTTTATAAATAATTACAAAAAAAAGAAATGTTGTTAAAAGTTTCTATAAATTAGTGTAATAAAAAATTATAATTAAAAATAATAAATTTTAAAATTAATAAAAGTATTTTTTTATTGTTTTGATTTAAAAGTGCACAACCTCCTCAAATATAATGATTACATGCTTATCGAAAATTTTTATGACATTTCAAAAAATAGGAAAAAATCACTATTGTTATATCCTCGACCTTACACAAATTTGAAAATTAATGAAAAAAATATTTAAAAAATTAAAATTAATTCAAAATTAAAAATTTTTTGACCAACATTACATTATAATAATATTATTGAATATTATATAATTGTCAAAATTTAACAAATTAATTAAAAAAATCTATCGTAATAAATAGATGATAAAAATTCTTTAAGAAATTTAGTTTAATCAAAATTATTATAAAATTTTAATAATTAATAAAAATTATTTTTTATAATAACTTTTTTATTACACTCATTTACGCATAACTTTAATAATTTTTTTTTTGTAATTTCTCATAAAAATTTCACTTCTCGTAGATGCATTTTTTAAAAAAATATTGGCTTATTAAAAATGTATTTCTAAAAAATATTATGGCATCTTGAAAAATATATTTCCAAAAAATATTATAACTTCTCTTAAATTTATTTCCAAGAGGTTATAAATTTTGTGAGAAAAGTATTTTAATAATTTTATTTATAAAAAATTTAGAAAAAAAAAAAAAAGCAAGAGTGCTTAGAGCAAAATCAGCGGTGTAAATAGAATTCCCTGTAGCTTTTTCACACCTCAAACCAAAGCACAACTTTATTAAAAAATCTAAACACCCCCTTTTCTCTTGAAAAAACCCTAAGCCCTATTAAGCTTCAAATCAAGCCACATTTAATGTTAGATAACTTAAAATCAAAGATAAATGGTTGGTTTTTTTTTTCATTTAATTTTTTGTTTAATGTAAAAAAATTTCAAATTTTAAGTTTTGAGATGCGATTCAAGTATTTCGAAAATAAATTTTCGAAAATAATTAAAAATTATATTCTAACCCTGATTATGATTTTTATGGCACTATAACAGTAATTTAACCTTTTTTTTCTCCATCTTTAGGGCCTGTTATGACCAAATTTACCAAAGTATTGAGAAAAATTGGCACATAAAAGAAATATCAAATGTATTATTGAGTAAGGACCTTAGATAACTGATCGAGGATGAATTCAATTCTTTGACATTCTCCGACTGCTGCTACAAGAACAGTTACTAAAGGACTGATAATCTCTTAGAAATTTCAATACTAAATAATTTGTTGTTGATTATTTTCTTAATGGCTATTTAAAATTGCAATGCCTAAAACTTTTCGAAAACTGACCTATGTAACTCTTCTCTCATTATTATTAGCCACTGAGCATTTCATTTATTTATGTTTTGGTTTCTTTTCCTTGATGTAAGAAACAAAAAATCAACAGGATGCTGGCATTAACAATTAGGCACCCTAAGAATTTAATTGAAAAGTTATGAAGTAGGTGTCTATCTGGTAAGTTTTTAGCCCTAAAAAGGCTTGGACTTCTCCAAGTTGAGTTTATCTTAGGTTATTACCGCACTAACTTGATCAGATCCAAAAGAAAATTCTGTTTAATATATCTGCAATGAACGTGTAGTCAATTTCATACTGAAAATTTTTATTTAGTGATCAGAAAAACTGAAATTTTATAATCAGCCTTTATGCATAATTTCCTTTCTTTTTTTTTTTTTTTTTGGGTTCCTTTAGTTTGGGGATATTTGCATGGCTTATTCTTCCATATCCACTTTGCTTTTTATACACCTGGCATTTTCCACTGATTATATGAATTTTACAATGAAACCCATGTTTGTTTGAGTTACTATAATATGATTCCTGGAATTCTGTTCTAGCTTTTGATGAATAAATTATATGTGGCCTTAGAAACTAAACAGATCTTTTTAATATCTCTCAAGTTCTACTTTGTGCTGTTCCATGCAGGCATAGTGATGGTAAAGTTGCAGCAAAAGGTGGAAAAAGCTTTTCAGCTGCTGAAGATGACATGGCAGATGTGTATCCATTGCTGCTAAGGCTTTCTATTCCACAGTTAACAAATTCATTGGGAGTAAAAATTAGCAAAAAGGTAAGTTCATTCAATTAACCCATTATTCCACTTTTGGTCTGTGAACATGTATCACACTAGGCTGGCCATACATTTTATAATGTCTAACTAGCCAGAATAGAATGCCAGCTAAACAAATTCACAAACATTGCTTTCCATGGTTTCTTTTACACTCCGATGTTCAGCTAAACCACCTGGCTTCCATCATAAGGGACATATCCAAAAAGTTGTAAGAATCCTTTAGTCAGATGACTGAGATTACACAAGATTAATTTTGGTTTTGAGACAAGATCTTGACATTTGAGTTTCCTTCTGGAGAGTTCCATGTTTCTTTATGCTTAAAAGGGATGTTTTAGCTCCAACATTTGTTCTGCAGTCCCCTTTTCCCATTTGATTGATTCTTTTTTAGGGTACAATTTAAGGTCATGAAAGAGAAGAGGCCTCTCACACAGGTGAACATATCTGTTTCAGGGACAGAGGTTACAACTGAAACTGCTGCTGCTATGGCTTCAGCATCTCTGGTATTTAAGACAGCTGACTCCACATATTCAAGCATGCATCTTAAGCATGCCAAGCAACTTTTTAATTTTGCACACAAATATAGGGCTCTTCGATGTTCAGGCAACAATTTTGATATGGAAGATTGATAAATTGGATTTTGTTGCATGCCTGGGAGCCTTTTTTGGAGTAGTCTTTTCATCAGTTGAGATAGGCCTTCTAATTGCTGTAAGAACTTAGATGTCCATTACCTAAAATTTCTGAAGATGAATTGCATTCTATTATATGTTTTACTTAATTCCTTTGTCATTGAACTCCATGGCAGGTCTCAGTATCCTTTGCTAAATTCCACTGTTACACGTTACTAGGCCTTTAACTGCTGTTCTCGGTAAGCTACGGACTTTTTATCTAGTATTACTTAAACTATTGTTTTACTAAATTCAATAGAACAAAATGTGTTAGTTATACTTTTCTCAAATTTTCAAGTAAATGAATTTGAAAGATCCCAATTTCAGTAGTTGATTTGAAAAGCCTTAAAATAACCAAATAATACAAATATTGAATCTTAATTTGTTTTGAGTAAATTACCTATTGATCATTTAATTTTTAAGATTTTTTATTTTGATCTTCCAAATTCAAAAATTTTACATTTTTATTATCAATATTTATAAATATTATTATTTTACTCAATCAATTGTTAATAAAATATCTAATCAGTGATCATTGTAACAATTAACATGTCATTGAAATTGATGTTTAAAGATTACAAGTTCAAGAAGACTTATGTACATAATATTCTTTTTAACGAAGATAATTAGTAGAGTAAAGAATTTAATGTTCTTTGATTACTTCACGTCCATGTCAACTGTTTTCACATGATGATAAAATGATTTAAAATTTTTTATTAGCGAGTGAATATAGCTACATAAGCTAATAACTATATGATTTATTAATAAGATATTAAATTTTTAATTTTAATAATTATAATTTAAATCTTGACAATTTCAAATTTTAAAAAAAATACTTACGTCATTAGGTCAAGGCATGGTGATATGAAATTTCATGCAAAAAGTCCTGTATCATTGGTCACCAAAATGTTATTTTCAAATTTAAGTATCAAAACAAAAAAAAAAAAGGTTGAAACCCTATAACCAAAAAAGTAATTTACTCAATTGGATTTTATAAATTAAATCCCTCATAAATATTTACAAAACGAACCAAATCCAAATTCAAATTCATTATCCCAAATGTGCGCTTCCAAACATGAACACTTTTTATAGCATGCTCATTTTCTTTGATTTTTTTGCTTCTAATCTATTAACCAATCGATTTAATGACTTTCTTTTTGGTGTTTGAGGAGTCTAGAGATTTAATCTGAGCAATAAAACTAAAAATCCAACACTTTACATACGTACCACAAGGCTGTTTTGAGTCTAATAACTATTTCATTGAGTTGAAATTGTTGTAAAAAATGTGACTCTGCCCTTATAAGACATCATACTTGGCTCCGGTCTCTATCCGAGACATGTTTATTGTAGAGATTAAGACTCAACCTACGAAATATTATTCGTTTTAATTCAAAAATATCACAATTTTATCTTACAAAAATATCTCCTTATAAATTTAAGTTTAAATTTCTATATATATATATATATATATATATATATATCATATCATATCTACACATTTTTTTAACGTGAGATTGGGAATATCACATTTATGTTCTCCATTTTGTTTTTTTTTTTTTTAATAAAATTCTTAATCTTCCCTTAAATCCCTCTACCCAATTATATACTTGACCGAAGAAAACGTTACATGTCTAAACTCTTTAAAACCTGTAATCTCCAAGTACCAACTCTAATACATAACAACTGATCCAAGGGATGGTTGGCCTTTTAGGATTCTGTTTGGTCTTTCTTGCCATCGTATCTGCTCGATCTTTTACTCTCAATCAAAGTTTGTCTACACTGAAGTATATGACAGCTCATTCAAGTCCTCCTCTTAGGAACACTATTTGTTCTTGAAGTTGGCATTTCAAGTAACCTATATCACAAATCCTTGCGCTATTTCTGCTGCAAACTCTTTCATAGGATAAAAATATATTCCAAAATTTTAACGTATGCTCTAACAATGAATTCATAAGAGAAATACAAAAGTCAATCAAATACATGTCTAAGTATGATACGAGAAAGGATTCTTCATGCTGTCTAATATAAGGATTAAAGGAAGAATAAAAAGAACAAAGTTCACAAGAAAACTAACTACTCCAAGTTTAAAATTGAAGGCCATGCTCTCTAGCGGAAGCAGCAAGCGCTTCTATGCGTCCATGATATGGATATCCACCTCTGTCAAAGGCCACCTTTGTGATCCCTTTCTCCAAACAGGATTTTGCAATGATTTCGCCAACCCTCTTTGCCACTTCCTGAAGCCAGAAGATTGAAAAATTAGGCAATTTTATCAAAATTGAGGCAAAAAAAAAGGGAGAGGAAGTGGAACAAACCATGAAAAGGCATCAAAATCTAAGCAGAAGTGGGAGATTGAAATTGGGCAAATAAGAGGTCAAGGTCCACATAGGAAGAGAATGAAGGTAGGTGAAATGTAAATTTAGCTATGGACATAAATAGAAACACTGGAATATTGAAAAATCAACTACCAACACAGCTTGCCTACAAATCTCATATTAATGTGAGGTGGAAAGGAGAAACGCATGCACCTACAGCCTTACAGACCCAAGTGAGATTCCCAAGTGCATGGCAAGGTTAATTTTAGGATAAAGTGGCAAATTAAGCATAATTCAATACAACTCCCGAAAGGGCCTAAATGTGGAACAACACTCGCCAAGAGAAGTCAAGCCTTTTTCTGTATTTCTTATGATCAAGGGGAAATAAGAAACACACACCAACAAAACATCAAAACGTGCATAACAGTTTACAAAAGCAACTGGATTCATTAAGTAAAAGAAGAACAAGGGTAATCAAAAACAGGTATAGTTATCATTCAGAATCAGACCAATGAACCAAAAAATGGATTCGATTCAGTTGACTGAACTCACAATAGTGGGACCAGATGAGTAGTTGAACTCCTCAGAAATTGGTTTCTGCATTGTTGAAGCAGAAGCAAGTGTGTGCATCTTTGAGTCATCAATGACTTGGACATAGAGATGCTTGTTGGAGCGGAAGACACACAGTCGTGGTCTATCTTGTTTCCCTTCAACCTACAAAAGTAAGAAATCCTTGTGATAAAATAAGGGATGCTAAAATGAGAGTAAAAGCCAGTAGATTTCATTCTGAGACATTAACATCATGTTCATATCTCTGCCCTTTTAACAGATATAGATTACTCTCATCCCCATCTTTTCTTCACATAAGAAGAAGAGATTTGAACTCGGTCCTAAAGAGATAATCATAGGGAGTAACCTTCTTCCTAACGCGAGAATGACGGGCATGACAGTCTTCTCTTCTAGTGTGAGCTTTGGCTTGAACATTGAAGTGAAGAGAGGGAACCGATGGGTGTGAATATTTTTCATACGGCAGCCTCATGGGAACTCCCAAAAATGAAGTCTGATTATGATTGACAACACCAGGAAACTGTAATCTCATATTCATGGTCATAGTCGTTGCCATACCCATCCCTGATTCCTGTCTATCTGCATTTTAATTTTAAACAAAAACCAGCAGATTATTTTTCTGAAACATGAACATAACCAAAAACAAACAAACCCATTATTATTACAACGTTTTATTCAATTTTTTTTTCCCGCTAAATTCTATCTGATAAAAATATTGCATGACACCTGCAGTGGCTGTCTATTATACGTCTACAGTAATTCAAAAAATGAAAATTTCAGCCTGTCAATCATTCCCAAAAAGAGCACATAGAGTGTTTAATGGCCTCATTATTGCTAGGAATTATGAACAGTAGGATAATAAAGGTTCAACGTCATACCCAATGCTCACTATAATAAACAATATAAAGCATCAAAGACAAAATGAAAACAATTACTAAGATCTAATGCTTGAAAAATTGTTTATCTACTTTGAAGGAGAATACTATCCAGTAAATTTTTTTTTTTTTATAAAAAGGAAAATCAAAGGCGCAGCTCACTATTGCCCCATTACAACAGCTGATATGCATTGAAGACTAATTGCAAACAATTTAAAGTCAGCATTAAGTCGATTCATAAAATTCAAAGCAATTCAACTTTAATATTCTCGGAGAAAGAATTAAGAATGCTTAACACTAAAAAATTCCAGCTTTTTTCCTACATTTTCTCACTGACCAAACAGAACACTCAAAATCTGAGACTAGACGGATCCTAAGAACCGAAAATCATATATCAAGGAATCAAAAGCTATAATTCAACCAAAAACCACAAAAAACACGGGACTTCCCAAACAGTCAATCAAAATATTCCCTTTCAATAGTCCAACGTTTTCTCGCCAACCAAACATAAAGAGTCAAATCGAAACCTCAACTCAATCTCAGAACTTAAACTAAAATAAAAATAAAAACTCCCAAAAAAACAAAATTCCTCAAAAAAATTAAAAAAAAAAAGAAGAAAAATGAATTATAGCAATAATAGATTATTATTATAAAATTGATTATGCCATACCAGCTTTCCAAGGCTTTAGAGTTGGGATGAGCTGTGCTGTGACTGTTAGAGAGAAGCGAGATCTGAAAGAGGAGTTTGGAACTCGAATAGACGGATAGAAGGATAGGCCTTTAAGTGTCAGGGAAGGAAGGGCACTTCAAAGTCCTTGTCCTATTTTGCTGCCAGCAGCTCACCACGTCACACCGAATTTACTTTATAATGTTAATAAAATTTGCTAACAATATTTGTTTGATTAATGATTTTCTTTAATATAAAGTTAAAAAATTACTTTAAAATATTTTTAACATTTAATTGATACATACTTGTTAAATACTATCTCTTAATAATAATTTTCTAAAAAATTTAACTAAACTCCAATGTCAGTTGATACAATTTTTACACTCTTGCTGTTTGTTTTTTAGTTTTCATTGTCAATGACGCTAACCAAAATTGAATTTAACACTTTTCCTTTTTATAAAAAAATGTTCTTCCTTTGTATTTAGATATATCAACTGATAAGAAATTTCTTGCTTGAGGTTGACACCAAAAACATCTAAACTTTGACGTATCGAAAGATTGAAGTTCAACATTTCAATCTCCATTGTTCTTCTACTTCCACTTGTATCCAAAAAAGGACAAAAAAAAAAAAAAAAACCAATTTGGGTTATTCATCTTCCAAGGGGAGGGAAAAATAATTTTTGAAAAATAACTATATATGCATAACTGATTACCAAACTCGTAACTCATAAGCATAATTATAATCAAGCCGGAATGAAGGCATGAATTTTTAAGCTCGTGTGGTTAGTTCAATGATTTTCTGTAGCACTTCCATAATAACTCCCACCACTTTATTCTTACAACAGAAATTTCAAATTTCACAAATAAATACACGATTTACTTAACCTAAGTTCATGGCAAAACTAAATGGTAAAGAACCCAAAATTATAATGAAAAAAAGGGGGAAAGCAACTAGAATCAATTGCTAGACGAACATGATCCAAACCAAAATTGCTTCCTAAATAGAGAGCTAACACGCCATCCCTACACTCAACCATACCATTAAAATTACTAAATGTACGAACCAGGACGTCTCGGAGGAATATACGGATATAGATTGTATCTTAGAAATAGAGAATGGAAAGGGTATTAAAATGTTCTGAGCTTCTTTAAACCTGGATTTCAATCCTCACCGCCCAGCAAAAACTCGTCCATGTGAAAGGTGCTTTAGATAAAGTGGGGCTCGAATAGCATGATTCAATCATGTTTGGTCAAACCATGTATGCAAAGGCTTGAAATCCTTCACTGGTGCATCAAGACTACATCCCACATGGCCAAGCTCAAAAATTTCCTCCAATGACGTCCGATGTATCTTCCTCGCCCATTCAAGGTGATATTCTCTTTCTGGTGCCCAGCATGGAAGAAGTGAGTTGAGCTCTTCCCCGAGCACCTGTAGAAACATGAAGATCATGAGAAAAATAAGTATGGTATAACAAGCGAACAGACATTTGTTGTTGAGTTTGCACAAAATTCCAGGTTGCTTGATTATGAATGCTTTGCGGTTGTCATTTTAGCTTTATTCTTTGATCTGGTACATTTGCAAATAGCTAGCAGGCAATCCATTACTAGGACCTGAAGATATCCCTGCCCCATCTGAGACTCTGTCTTCAACATTGTCTAGTACATTCTTTTATTTATCTATTCTTCTTTTTCTTTTATTTTTTTTTTCACAAAAAGGAGAACTATATAAAACAGCAGCACATGAATTGGACAAGCTTACCCTATTCAACTTAGAAGGGAGCCTCAAGTGATTCATCCCAAACTTCTGCACTTCCATTAGAGGCATCTTCGACATCTTCTTCCATTGAAAGCCTAATATATTCTCTATGTGCAAATCGATCCCATTCTGTCAATGTAGGATTCTCACGCTCCTGTTTGTTCCAACATAAACAAGGCTGTTATTCAAAACTTGAATAGAAGTGAGATGTTATACAGTTCCTTTTAGAGGTAATATTAAACAAGTAAATAAGAGCTGAAGGGTCACATTTACCTGACGAATGAGGAATGGATCACGAGTTTCAAAGGCAATGAATTTGTTGAGATTGAAAAGGATATTGAAAACACTTCCAGAAAGTTTAGAACCTTTCAGGTCACGAAACATAATATAGCTGCCATTCTGCAAAAAAGAAAATTTCAATCATCAAAACATGTAAAACAATGTTAGCAGTGTATACAGAGGAGCATGCAATGGAAACTCAGATCCTAAAGGCCCAAACAAGCATATGGTAGAAAGCAGTTCAAAGAATAATTAGCTCAGGGCCTTAAATCTCACTAAATGATCTATTGTAAAGCAGCCAATAACCTGCTTCAAGAGGAACAGTGAAAGAGACAAACTCAACATTTGTCAGAAGCCTGCCTTCTGGACAATTGTATTATACCAGACAAACCTTTAAGTTTGAAATTACAAGCAGAACATAGCAAAACAAATATTATGAGTCATTTCCATGAACACACTCCCATATGCACCATAAAAAACAGGCAAGGAAAGAAAAAGGGAACAATAATAAAATGGCAAACCTCCGGTTTAACCATGTCAATTATCTGACATAAGACGTCCTCAAAGAGCACAGGCTCCTGTGCCATGCATTCCATTCGATGCAGCTGCTCCTCATAAAAGAATTGCATTTCATTACGTGTTAGAACTCCATTGCCATCCAAATCTATACATTTGAACCTACAAAAGAAAAAAATAATGCCCCAATTACTGGTTAGTACTGGAATAATTCCCCACCCTGCCAAACTATGTCAAAGTATTCCATAAGAGAGAACAAAGGCAAGAAAATGTTTAGAATATAACATTGGGGAAAACTAGCCAAGAATAAAAAAATTACTCAGAAATCCAATATTAATGTGATCATTCATAAGCTCCACTCCCTCAAAACACACTGCTATTTCTCGCCCTCTGACAACAGGGGCAGAAAATATCAAGGCAAATATCCATAAAGCTACAAATGAATCATTAAAGACCTTTATTTGTTTAGTTAAATTTTGTTTGGTCAAGACTAATTTCCCAATCAGTAGCTTCCGACAAATCCTTCAGAATTTTTAGGTAAGAAGTACGAAAAAAAGCTATTTTTTGGGGGGATTTTTCAAAAAATGAATTCAAATGAAAAATAGGTGCATTTACTTTCAATGCTAAGTAAGCTTTTAAATTGATAATCAGTTCACAATATCCACTATAATAACCTTGAGCCTACAGAGAAAGAGCACAAAATATACCAATACTCAAGACTAGGCTCAGATGACTTGTCTTCCTCTGCTAGGATAAAGTAAACAAAATCTTCATACCCCATCTTTCCTTCAACCTTACTGGTAAACTTTCTTGGAACCTAAGATGATATGAAAGCATAACATGAGTGAAAGTTCAAAATATGAAAATAAATATATCAATCAACGAAACAGAAATAGAAGAGGATAGTGGAATAGACAAAGTACAATTAAATGAAAAACGTCTTTCTGCGGGTAGACTGTGGTTTAGACCAAGGAACAAAAATATTATCTGGTTCAGACAAACCTGAGAAAATATCCTATCGACAATCCGGTAGGTAAGCGCATGGTTTCCATATCTGACAAGGTTCTCCTTGTCAATCAAGAAATCATGATCTGTATCCAGCTCCCAAAACTTGCAGTATATCACGTAAAAATGTTCATACGAAAAGTACCTGTATATATAAAAATATTGAAAAGAACAGAAAAGGATCGAAATGTCAAAATAATTGGTATCAGAAGAATGCATTAAGCATGCATCAAAAAGCAATTATAAAACCTTATTCATGATTTTGTGGAATTTGAAAGCATCATAAAAATCAGTTTCCCACTCTATGCATTCAAAGAGCCAAGTCCCTACCTCAAAACTTTATTAATGTCCTCTTCCTCATCAGCATGTAGCATGGCATCAATCAAGTTTCCACGTTTCAACTCCCTAAGAGTGAGGTGACCATTCCCAGATCTATTTATGTAGTAATATATTCTGTATATGACAGTTTCAGCTGACCATGTGCAACAAAAGTTAACAAGCAACATCAGATTCAGCAGCACTAGGGACAATTTAGACTCACAAACAATTGACAAGTGCAGAGATAGTAGTTTATGCTAACTGTTTGAACAGTATTGAAACCAGAGACTAAAATGAGAGCTATATTGCCAATCATTCTTACTAAAGACAACCAACAAACTAAACAACACTGCAAATCCTTTTTTCTATGCATCTTTTGTTTCTGTTTGAGAGATGTGTAAATTTCAACACTTGCTCATCAAAGAATAGGATTGCATTCCTACTTTATTAATATGCTAGACATTTTATCAATAATTTTTAACATAGTGTTATAAATTATCAAACACATTTGAGACAGAACTACTTCATCAAAGCAACAGGGTGAACTTCAGTCATAGAGATTCAAATGAAAATAGATGAATTTACTGGATTTGTGAGTTCAGATCTTAGCGGTTCAAGCATTTAATGAAGGAATCAGTTTGGGAACAACTCAATATCAGTATTCAAATTCCTTAAATATTGCAAAAGCAGGGGAGAATGAGATATATCAGAAAGTAAAAATTTTGCATCTCAAAAATCCAGTTGAAATGAGAAAACAGCCAAAAGGTATCAAACAGACGAAAAACGAACCATATCTTTCCTGAAACTCAGGTGTACTCTGTAAGAACTCCAGCCCTGGATGAGTTGCCAATAGTTCTCGGAGTAAAGGTTTGAAGTCATCCTGTCAAATTGAAAGTATACAAGAAATTAAGTTTAAACATAGACTATTAGACTATCAACCAATATCGCAGTTGATTTAAGCTCTTGAAAACGCATAAAGACCTGAGTCAGGTATTTGAGATCTGGTTGCTTTAATATTGTATATATTTGGGTTGCTATATCCCTTGTTAACATGTTGCTATTGACCCAATAATCAATAAATGCATCTCTGCAAGCAGATTAGAGGAAAAGTTAGTAAAAGCTACAACAAGATGCTAACTAAATGACATCACAATGAAAAGCAATTACAAAGAGAACCAGTAACAGATTAGGAGTCAGATTCTAAAATAGTATTTTCATTTGTTTATCACAATCAGTAGCAATATAAATTTATGACAAGTAGTTTTCCAAAAAGGCCCAGAATGGAGAGCACTTCACAAAAGAAACAAATCAAAATATAAAATTTTCATAATTTTCAAAGAACTATCCTAGCAGTTTCAAAGGATATGATAGATCTAAGATACAAATATAGCTGTTCCACTTCCATGAAAAAGAAAGTATACCTTGTAATCAAACCAGTGCTACCAACATCAATTTTTCTGAAAAGTAATAGGGAGAAACATGAAGGCAGCTTGCAGATTTCCTTGGTCACTAATTTGAATTCTGAAATGCATAGGAAGTAAAACATGAATATCAGATGAGTTTCAGAAATATCTGTTAAGGCAATGCATGCATGTATCTTACCATGCAGCTTTAGCCCATCTGGGTGGCCATAGAAGAACTGATTGATTCGAAGCATGCATTGTTCTTTTAGATCATTTGGAGGTGGACGGCCATTTTTAAAGTAAAACTGGAGACATTTTCAAGTACCAATATAACAAGTTATCACCACTTCAGCATAGAAAGGTAAATATAGCAGATAAAACACAACTAAGGACAGCAATGGAGAAAAAAAAATATCATATCAATTAAACAAGATCCAAACCTGAGGTATCAACTCCTTCACAGGCTCGCTAACTACTTTCAGTGGAGAGCCCAAGTTTGAAGGACCAGCCCTTTGTTTTGTTATACGAGGGGAACCAGATGTACTTCTTGGTGAAAGGGGAGGAGCACTGCCAGCAGGAAACATGGAAGGTAAAGAATTGCTTGTGGCAGTACTTCCACTGGAAGCATTACCGCGAACATTCAAAGGATTACCCGCCTTTGCATCATTAACCAATGTCGTCACCTAGCAAGGTAACAAGAATTAAACAATGGTGCACCTCCACTCATAGACTCAGAGGAATATTTTAATAAATTACATGAATACCATATGCTCTGCTTCAAAGTCACTAATTTGGGGGGGAGGGGGGGGGATTCCATATTTAAATACAAAAGAATAATGATTTTATCATCATTTGAGACTAGATAAAAGGTACTCTGGGATATTGTTAAGACTGTTAAGCTTCCAACTTAAAATCAAATTGCACAACAGAACTCTAAACTTAATCAATGTACATAACACTACTTAACAAAGACATCTAGAAAATTAAGAATCGGAGGTCACTCACAACATTCCTTTGACATCCATTTTAATCAATTAAAATACCTTTTTTTAAATAAGGAATTCACATACACACAATGAACTAATTAAAAGAAATATAATAAAATCACAATAATCCGGTATCAAATATACTTTAATTATCATAAAAATAAATTACTTCTAAAAAAATTACCATCAAATAACCGACCAATTAACTGATTAGAACAATGTAAGGGCAACAACAATCAATCATTTTCAATTTAAGTAATCAAAAACAATATAATTCAAATCAAACACCGCGAAGATTCAAAATTGGAAAACGAAAAGTACCAGCTTGTTAACATCGGGAAGCGAAAGCCACTGTTCGAAAAGCTTTTGAGTGAATTCAGGATTGGATTTGAGAGCTAACGGAGACATCTCCTGGAGCTGCAATAACTCCGCATCCAAACACGCTATATCTCCAACAACAACTGCCTCCATTTTCTTTCCTTCGCATAACCAAACACAGCTCAAGCAACGTTTCCGCACAGATCAAATGAAATGCAGCTTCCAAAATTTAAATTACAAAAAAAAAAACAGATTTAAGCTAAGAGATTTATTTTTAATAATTAATTGAAAAATGTCAATGAGAAACTCCGATTTGAACCTGAGAAACCATTGGAAACCCTAGATCTTCATGGAATCACGGAACCTAGCTAGACAAATTTTCTTATTTTTCATTTTTTTCCTTTTTTGATGTTACCGATAGAGTGATTGGGAGGAGAGAAAACGAAAGAAAGTGGATAAAAATCTTTTTTTTTAATATTTTGAGAGAACGAGAGAGAGGTCGATGCGATTCAAAAGAAAGATTAACTAAGAAATTGCAGAGATTTGAGTAACATATGAGAAAAAAAGAGAGAGAAAAAGATAAAAGAAATGTTTTTTTTTTCTAAATTTAAAAGAAAAAAAATTTATTCTTTATTATTATTATTATTGTTATTATTTTTTGCGAAGTATTTTGTCCAAGAAACCGACTTAAAAAGTGTCAAAAAGTCAAAACCTTGAATAACGTTTCTCTTCCAAGATTTTCAAATTCGGTGGACAAATGGGGAATCATTTGCAAATCGTTTATGAAAGTGAAAACCTAAGATTTTTGTTAAAGAAAAAGGTTTAATTTAATAACATTATTATATTTTTTTTTATTTGAGATAAAATAATGTTATTTTTAATGTTTATATCTGTCAAAATTAACTATTAAAATTAAAATTTTAATATTTATCAATAAAGTATGCAAAACTTTATATATAAAATAAAATTATACAAATAAAAAAAAATTGATGGGGACTCTTAATCAAATAAAGCATAAGATATTAAAAAGATTAAGGGCAAATATTTTGAATATTTAGTGTACATTTGTAATATCTACTTTTACTAAATAATGAGTTTCTAAAATTATATAATTTAATTAATTCATACATTTACTCTTAAAAAAAATTTTTAATACATTTTTAATTTTTAATATTATAATTTTTTCACAAATTATGTTTTTTTGTAAAAATAAAGTTTGTTGTATATTATATAATTTTTTTTATCATTATAACAAAAGGTATTTTCATAATTCAAAGTTTTATTATTTTTATTTGTAAAAAAAAAATTCTTACTCATTTTTTTTAAAAACATGTATTTTATTTTTTGTTGAACCAAGGAGTCCAATGTCTAAGAAATCCCTCTACTTAAGAAAAATTCATTTAATTTGATAGTGACATAAGATGGAAAGTGAAGGGTGTACTGTTGTTACAACTTTATGTGATTGACATAAATAAATAAATAGGAGTTTTAAAAATATCCAACCTTACAAAGAGAAAAGATATAACAGTACTAGTCAAGGGGGCATATTTAATGCAATCATAGGAGCATCATATATTTTTTATAAATTTCTACTACACACCAACTTCAATGCCACTTTTATTGTTCATCAATTGGACAAATATCCATATTTAGGAACCTTCTTTGCCAAGTTGGTGCAAAATAAATTGAACACTAAATAATAATAAAAATTATTATAATTATTATTAAAAAAATTATTATAATTTTAATTAAAAAATTCAATGAAACAATTATACTAAATAAATTTATTTAAATTAATATTTAAATTCAATTGCGATCAATTCAATCACATTAAAAATACAATTAAAATTTAAACGGATACTTAATTTAATTGATTTTTACATTTAAGTATCCGATAAATTTATATTTAAATCTTAATGTTTGTAATTCTTTTATTTTCATATTGTTATCTCTTTTTATAAAAGTAGTATAAAATTATCTGTGTAGGCTAATATTGGTGACCTAACAAAATGATAAGCAATAAAGTCAGCTTCTTTTATGTAAAAATCAAATTACATTTGCCAATTGCATCATAGAAAAACAAGTAATTCAAAGAATGAGAAGGAATTAAATCTTAGTATCCTTCTCTTCGTGACTCTACAACAACATAGCATGATGATGAGTACGACAATAATATATATGACCTTTCCATCGAAAAATGTGGAAATTTAGCTGTGAATGGACCCATTAATGAGTGTAAGAACTACGTTCTGATTGAAATGGGAGACTGGGAGGATTACTCCAAAAAGAAGAGCTATCTCTTACCAAATGGGACATTCATCCCTTCCGCTTATCTGTAACCCTTGAATGGTGCTCAGAGCTCTTATTTTGATCTTCTCGGAAGGCTTTTGAGGTTGTAGCTCGGGAGAGGGATGATCTCGGATCCGACCCAGAATGAAGTCTCTGGCTTGTGGAGAGGCGACTACTACCTGAAAGAAGCCAACTTGAGCGACTATCGCTGGGCCCCACGGACGAGGTTGGCCTGCTGCTTGAGGCGACAGCCCTCTTGGACAAGCTGCTAGGTCGTTTGGAAGAAGTTCGCCCCCTTCCAGAATCGTTACCCTGGAAAAACATGAGTCATTATAGCCTTCATAATTAAGGATTAACTCTAGAGCACTGATTCTGAGCTCTACATGCATCCTCATAGTCAAAGGCATGGACGGATGAATCAAATTTATTCCATGAAGTATATCCAGATCCATATATGAAATGGGCAAAAAACAAAAAAAAAACTAAGAGTAAATACAAAAGAATTTACGGCAGTCAATGCATACCAAATCCTTTGATGGTGATGCCTTCTCTGATACCTTCTGCTTTGAATGATCACTGAGATGTCCACTTCCTGAAGCATTTTTCCTAGTAAATGCCTCAACAGCACCTGAAAATCTATCCCGAATTTCGCGTCCCACTAGTTAAAACATGCAAGGAAATGAGGGAAAAAGCATTAAGATTCACTTAACACAAGGGAAAAAATTTTTGCTTCCACAAATTATCAGCCAAGAAACATGTTAAATCACCCAGCTGTAAAAAGGGAAGGTTAAGTATCCAAGCCTCAAGCATCATAATTGCATTGAGAACTTTATTTAGAAGTAGGAACTCTAGAACACTATGAAAATCAAGTAATTCAAATACATCCTTAGCAGTCCAAACATTTTAATTACACAAAATTTTATCCTCCTCCCTACGGCCTCTCAGGAGAACAAAGCACACCTGATGGCTTCTCTGTTCTTTCAGCAGATGTTCCAGCATTCAAAGCAGCCTTTCCACTCGACAACTGAAAAGACCCAAGACAGGAAATAAGAATAATCTGCGATAGGAGAGATGTACAGCTCTAGGTTGACAAGCACTGACCCGTTGTCTAGAGCTACCAGTAAGCTGGGGATACTTGAGAATGGTCCAGTCAAATACATAGTCAAACTGATATCCTGCCAAGAAAACCACCTCGGGAATCAAACAAGGCCATATACATTCCACCAGCCTTCAAAGAAATATTTTCACATGATGTTTTCCATGATTTTATAAGCAAGTCACCATATCATGCTTTACAACATCATGAAAGCAGGAAAACTAACTTCAGTTATCCATATTGCTATAATAAACTGTGTTCACCAAATGTTTGAAACGCATCTTGACAGGAGTTAAGATACATCCCATTTAGTCCACTATAATTGATATATGATAAAATCCTTGTTCATTTTGAAGGTGTATGAGTTACATACTGATATTTGGGTACAAACAATTATGGTACAGCACCCACCAATATATGTGGAGTTTGTGATACATTTAAATGACCCTACAGATGACCAGAAGATACTAGAAAGCTAGGTTGTCAATTTTCCATAAAGCAACCCACCTCCCAATTGCTTCCACTATAATGCACAAAATTTTATGTGAATTATAGTCATGCTTTGGATGGTAACAGTTGTGTTGAGAACCACACAGATTAGGATATTCATAAGTTTAGAAATATTTTTGGGCAATATGAAGGATACAAACAGGTCTTAACTTCCAGTATTAACTGAGATATGAAGGCAGTATTTTGAATATGAAACTATAATCATTGGTTCTTACCTTCTCGAATAAATAAGTCACGGAAAAGCCTCTTCAAGTATGAATAATCTGGCTTGTCTTCAAAGCGCAATGAACGGCAATAATGGAAGTATGATATGAACTCTGATGGATATGACTTGCAGAGTGCCTAAGGGAAGGATTTGCATATTTTATGTAATTAGTTACAAATAAGGGAAGTGTAGTGACAGGGTAAAGGCATCACCCTTGCCTTGCCTTGCCTTGCATATTTAGAATTCAATATGAATGCAACATGCGTTAAACTATAAGCATAGTATCCTACATGCAAGTGCAAGTTGAAATTTAGAATACCTCAACAGGAGTTAGCATCTTCTTTTCACTGATTTTATCATACTTCTGTTTTTTTGTCCCGGCCTTCAGGCCCTGCCAGGGAAGGCTGATGCCAGCAGCACAAAAATTTAAAGAACATGACTAATGAGAAATAGTTTCTACATCAACAAACTTAGAATACACAAAAGAATAGTGCTTATATTGTAATAACCTTCCTCGTAAGAAATACATGAGCACATAACCAACTGATTCCAGATCATCTCTTCGGCTTTGTTCTGCACAAGAATAGAGAAACAATTAGATTGCACAATTCCCATCATGTCCAACATGAATAAGCAGCAACAACAAAATAACTAATGTGGCACTTTACCCACCAACTCCAAGGTGAGTGTTAACACTTGCATATCGAGCTGTGCCTGTAAGATTCTTGTTCTCTCTGTGAAAATAGCAATTCACAGAAGTTGAAGCAAATCTTGATCATGAAGACTAAGTAAATAAACAACCACTGCTTGTCAAAATGTGGTAACTTTCTAGACATTTTATAGTAGTATGTAAGCAATGGAACATAAAACAATGTTAGCAAAAGCTGGTCAAATACCACAACTGTTCAAGAACTTTCAGAGTACACTGGTAACTCGCCTCTCTAGCTTGTTTAGCTAGATGCTATCATTCTCAAGAAGAGTCACCACCTATAGGCAATTAGTTTATAAATATCTATCTCTGAGATAGAAAACATTTTACATACAACTAATAACATACTAGATAAGTGGAACTGCAGGAAACCAGAATTCATTGTGACATTGTTATGGATAAGAAACAAATAACAAATGCATACCTATAGGGTATATGTTTATGAGTTTGAAGATCCCTATACTTTTTTGCAAGGCCGTAATCAATGATATACACCTGTTACAAAATCAATGTGATGATTAGTAGAAAGATGAGGCTTTTAGTAATAAAACTTTGTATACCATGTAACTACAGTTGCAATAACTTTTGAGAACATACAGTAAGGAAACCAACAATTATCAACCATTGATACAGGAAAGATAAATGAAATCAAACTTCAATATGCAATTGGTAACTGACATGGCATGGACATGTAATACTTAAGTATAGCTCAACTCAAGGAAATAAAATTTTAAAACTCTACAAGAGGACATCAGGAAAAAATTTTAGTTTCCCAAGTTATTTCAATATCTTAAATTCACTCTCC